ACCATTGGGCCTCTGTTACATCGAGAGCGAGAAATCTCACTTTCTGAGTCAGAAGCGAACAGCAAGATGCCATCAATGTCAGAAGATTGAACACTACGCTCATGAGTGTAGTGCCCCAAGCACCGCATCACGTCCAAATACAGGACGTGATGACCTCCGTTGGCCGAGGAAAGGTCCAAGGCGCGGATCCGACCATGTCGCTAAACCGCGACAGCAAGTCGGAACGCCAAAAAAACGGTCAGGGTCAATAGGGGCGGAGCACCCTGCTGATCCAGCAACGTCAAGAGAATTTGCAGGACTCTTGACGAAGATTGCTCCCAACGCACAGTCGCTGTGTGTTACTGCCCCTAGTGATGAGGAGTCTCTCATCACTTTGAAGATCGAAGTGACACGTGGAATGTCACTTCGCGTCCTAGCTGAATGTGGGGCGTCGAACAGTTTTATTCGACGCCAGTCGCTAAGGGACAGTAGGCTCAACTATGTTGAGCGAGAGTTACCTCCAACGAGGATGACGGTGTGCCTTGCTACAGGCGAATCCGTTACAGTGAACGAAGGTATAGTTGGAATTTACTACACGCTAGAAGGAAAGCAGTACGATGATGACTTCATCGTACTAGATTTGGATGACAAATTTGATTTCATCCTCTGTCTGCCATGACATACAAAATACCAGCCATGGGTCAGCTGGTAGCATCAGTCCTTGATGATGCCTACCGTTTGCTCATCAGGCGGCCATCCAATGAATGTCTTAGAGCGTCCACAAGCGTGTGGATGTACTACGAGTGAGTGCGATGGCCTTACTTGTGGTACGGTCGTTAGTATGACTGCACAAGATCACAGTGTAGAAGGCCACTACACTGTGTAACCAGCTTCCGGCACCTGTGTAGAGACACAGTCTGCGCCGAAGGTTCACCGCTCGAAGAGATCGAGTGGACTAATACACGGATGCACACCAAGAAGGGTGCATCCAAATAGAGAGATTAGTGTTGTTCAGGATGGACAAAACGTTGAAGCGAGGTCGACTAACAGAGAGTCGATCGCAAAGCAAGCCCAATCGACTGGAAGATAGTCGATCGAAGAGGACGTGACTGTGGTAGTACAACCACAGTCGGTACACGTATTGCAAGAAAATCCAGCGTTCCTGAGAGTGATAAATCCCGAGAGAGTTATGTTGAGGTTGTGGATCCCCAACCACATGCGGATGTGTTTCCCAGAAAAGCGCCGAGACAGTGAATTTCTTGGTGAATGACGGATCAAGTGTAGGCGCTTATACCCTTGATCTGGTTACAACTCCGAAGTCAGATTCGGAGGTAACCAAGTTGCCAACGCTAGAATCTAAAAGATTATTGCGAGATCTGCGTAGTGACAAGATCAAGCAGATCTGCTTACTCGTCACAGAGGACGAGTACGTCGCCGATATTCGGTCGACACAAGTGTTTGCTGAGAACGAATGGGTTCTCAGTAGCTCATCGATGGACGAGAGTGTCCTCGATGAGAAGACCCGGATTGAGCGATACACGTCTCAATCTTGGAAGTCTTTGGAGACAAATCCTTAGTGTAAGGATTTGGTGGAATTCAGGGATGTTTTCCCGGTATCCGTGCCATGCGAGCTGCCTTAGGATAAGGGCAATCGAAATGAGGTCGAAATGAAACCCGGTTCGAAGTACTGTGTCGTGAAGCAGTGGCCACTGCCTCTTGAACAGGTCACAGCGATCGACAACTTCTTTGTCGATCGTTTAGTGGCTGGTCATGTGAGGGAATCAATATCCCCACACAGCTCTCCGACCTTCTGTGTGCGAAAGGCCACAGGAGGGTGGCGGATAGTACACGCGTTCAACAAATTGAACGCTGCAACGGCACCGGCTTAAACGCCGATACCGAGGAAGGAAGTCATCATAGATCGAATGGCCAAAAGTACCATCTTCTTGTACATCTATCTGATGGATGAATTCTATCAGATCCTCATGCATGAACGGGATATCCGTTACACAGCAGTGAGCACCCCCAACGGTATGCTGTGGGAGTGGCTAGTGATGCTACAGGGGCTAAGTAATTCTCCCGCAACGTTTAACAGATGTGTTACAAACCTGTTGCGATCAGTGCGTGATTTCGCACCGAGTTACTTCGACGATGTCTTCGTCCATAGCCGGGCTATGGATGGAAAGACGTACGTGGAGGTTCACCGATTCCACGTCCGGAAAATTCGCACACTTGTGCGAGAGCGTATGTTATTCGCGAACCTCAAGAAGTGTATATTCGCAGCGAACGAAATATCACTTCTTGGCTGAATCGTGGGTTAAAATCTTGTGCACCCTGATTCAGATAATATTTAGGCGATTAGCGACTGGACTGTGCCAGTCGACTTCAAGGGACTTCGAAATTTACTTAAATTAGCGGCGTACTTGCACAAGTACTCGCGCAACTACGCCGAGATGACCGTACATCTCTCTCGTCTGCTAAAGAAAACTGAGAGGTGGTCATGGAGTGCTGAGTGTCAGCACTCCTTTGAATGTATCAAGAAAAGCTTGATACAATCGCCTGTGTTGGCGATTGCAGACCAGGATAGACCATTTCATGTGGTCTGTGACGCCAGCGATTTTGCAATCGGCTGCGGGTTAATGCAGTACGACTCAGACGGCGTTGAGCGCGTCGTCTGTTATCAAAATTGCGTCAGCTGCAAGCAGCTGAGCATAATTACTCGGTGCATGACAAGGAACTCCTTGCCATGAAATAGGCACTGGCTAAGTTTCGGTTGTATCACTTAGGAGATAGGCCCTTCATCGTTAATACCGACCAGCGTCGTTACGCACGTCCGTAAACCGTCCACACCTTTTGCAACGAATGGTGAGGTAGCTGTCTTTCTTCGCGGAGTACAACTTCTCCGTCGAGTATAAAACATGACGACTTAACGTCGTCGCTGATACTCTTTCGCGTCGGCCCGATTTCGAGCCGACTGCTCAACACAACAGTAGGGGTGACCCCACTGTCACGACACTAACAGTGAGTGTTCCGTCATCGAATCGGCTTGACGTGCGGAAGGCATACGCAGAAGATGAGTCATTTTTTTGTTTAGTGGATGAAGTATCTAAGTCATGCCTCCAAGCTTTGAAAAGCTTGTCGTCTCAACACCTCTCTTCAACCGAACGGTATTCGGTTCGTGATGGACTGCTGTACTATACAGCAGTCAACGGCGACACACATCGTGTCGTCTTTCCCGCTTATGATGATTCGAGATTGCGCATCATGTATGAGTGTCACGATGCTCCAACAAGTGGACATCGTGGTATAGAAAAGACATACCTCACGGTAAGTCGTGACTTTTACTGGCCCTGCGAGTATGAGTTTGTGCACAAGTACATTCGTGCTTGCGAAGTTTGTCAAAGGGTGAAGCCTAGTCCTTCATCCTGCGCACCCTTACAGCCTCTTCCGATTCTGGCAGAGTGTTGGCAGTCCGTATCGATGGACTTCGTCTTCGGGTTTCCCAAAGACGTTCACAAGAATACTGGTATTCTTGTGTTTGTTGATCGGTTCAGCAAGATGGTGCATCTTGTTGCTGTAACAAATTCAATCACAGCCCAGGGCTGTGCTCGTGTCTTCATCGATACTATCTTCCGACTTCACGGGTTACCCCGTGAACTCGTGTCTGACAGGGACCCTCGCTTCACAGCGGAGTTCTGGCAATCCGTGTTCTGTTCACTTGGAACACGTTTGACGATGTCGACTTCTGACCATCCAGAGTCAGATGGTCAGACGGAACGCGACAACCGCGTCCTCGAAGAGATACTTCGAGGGTATGTCCACTCGTTTACGAGTTGGAGTGAGTTCTTGACGATGGCGGAATTTGCCATCAACAACTCGGTGCATGCGTCGACAACGCATACACCGTTCTTCGTGAATGGCCTACGCCATCCACGTGCACCCGCCTTCTTAGAGTGTGACTCTAGTTTGAGGGGGGGGGGTGGAATCGCTCGAACAAAACCCGATCTGGTCCTTGTTCATCACCCGTCGACAATGGTGTCGACCTGATGGATGCCGATGTCGATGCGATAGATATCGATGATGATGACGACGACGATGCTGGTATATTTAGCATCGCCAATGACTGCCGAAGTGAGGACGATGACACCCTCACTAGTGAAGACAACGTTTTTTTAGCAGTGCACACGAAGCGCACTGCTGTTGACAAGGATGAATCAGCAGAGGAATTTCTGCTGACTCGCGAAGCGGTTGTCCGCTTCTTTCACTACTCTATTACAGATGCACTAGACAGACAGAAAAGAAACGCAGACAAACATGTAAGAGCAAATCTTCTTTCATATGATGAAGGAGACTTAGTTTTACTGTCAACAGTAAAATTACCGAAACACGCAGTAACAATCGTGGGCAGCGGTAAATTACTGCCCAAGTATGTCGGTCCGTTTCGTGTATTGCATCACATGGGCAACGCTTACACGATTGAACTGCCCCGTAAGATGCGTACGCATTCTACAATTTACGTCGGACTTCTCCGCCCGTACTATCAGTACGAGCCCATTCAAGAGGCGAAGAACACCTCCGCGGTCGAGAGCCGAGACCACCTTCGAGTGGTTCCGTTTTAACGAGCCAGTCTGGTCGACTATCGAAGCGACCTGCTCACGCAGTTGAGCGATGTCTCGACGAGCTGCAGCCAGCTCGTACGAAGAGAACGAGTCGAAAGTTTGTTTTCTAGTTGCGCGAACGCAAAAGCGGCACGATTGTCCGAACGATCGTGCGTTATGATATTGTACTTATCCCTCACAAGATCCTCAAGCCCATAACGCCGAGTCCATTCATGAGCCAGGTTACCTTGCAACTGTTCTGTGACAGAGCTCAGTGCCTGAACATCAAGCTGATCCGACCCTCGAGCCGGATCAGGTGTCCCTCCACCACCACATCCTTTGGTGGATTCTGGCGGTGGTTAACGCTTTCTGGTGTAGCGTGTTTTGATCCACCGCGACGTGAATAGCGTCCGGACGTGTTGCCTAGTCCGCTGGCGTGGCTATCCACCGGCGTGGGATAGCCTGGAGCCTCGTGCCCAGCTGATTGTTGATGTCCTGGGTCTCGTCGAGCAGTACGACGAGACCCACCGCTACGTTCGAAGAAAGGCCGTCGGAAAATGACCTCCCCGAACGCGAGTGCAGGGGTTGCAAAGTGTCAATCCCTTCGGCCATCTCGGAAGAGATGTGCGCCCTCCCGTAGGGATCATTAGGGAGTAAGGCCTCCCTAGGGGCACGATTCGAGTTGTCCAGGCAACCTGGACACGAATCACCCCACGAGAGACAGATAAAGCCTGCCTCTCTTGAAAGTCGGTTCAGCTTGTATCGCACCCCGACTGGGTTGCGTTTCTCAAACCTGATGCGAGCTGCATTAAGTTTGGCGAGCCAGGCCTCACGGCCAATGCACTCGATGTTACGGATGAGGGCATCCCATCCTTGCACCAAGGCTTTACCGTCTCGAACACGGCTGCCGTTGTACCACCGATGTTTGAAAAAATCATCGGTGAAGAGCTCTTCCTCAGCACGGATAGTTTCCGTGCGGAATCAGGTGGGCAAATCTTCCTACAATCGAACAACGGGATTCGATCCCGATCGGTAGTCATGCCGGCCAACCGGTCCAACTCTCTGGATGGCGGCATCCACGGAGACTCTACTTGAGGAGCGTGGCGCAGGACATTTCGGTCTAGGGAGCACTGACACCAGTGACAGCTCAACCCTCGAGTTGCTTCTTTCGCGGTGATGCATAGGTGCATCACCATCATCACCACGCTTCCAATCTTCGGATGGACTTGCGTGAGACGAGGATTCGTCGGAACAATCGCTCGGTCTGAATATCTCGAGCATGATGCCGCCACGTTGACCAGAACCAGTCAACCTGACTCGTGCACTGTCCGCCCCGGGTGACCCGGAGGCGTGAGGTGTCGCCTTCGAGTCGGATACATCATCCGACTCGCCAGAATAGATGATATCTATTACAGACTCATCTTGATTACGACTCGTGGTACCCGCTGCAGACGTAGCAGATGTACTTGTCGCACGTGGTGACTCACCACGTGGACTGAACACAGCAAAAGGCGAAGGATCACCTGCTGCTGAGGCGTAAGAGGAACTTTCCACGGCTGCACGCATGCGTGCAGCCGCCCTTCTTGCTGCTACAGTAGCAAATCGCTTGGACTTTGAAAACAGTTCGATTAGATTGGCACATGAATGGAATTTGACCAACAAGTGCTTCTTTTCCTAGAGTGATCCAAATATTATTACATTGTCCCTGATCATTTCAATAAAGTCAACGGGTTGGTTGATGGCTAGGGGGGGTGATGTAACGGTGTAGCCCGTTACATTATATTGACACCAAACGGAGTCAATAGGGAGATTGTCTAGCATGACAAATTCCGACCAAAATAATCCGAGATGGACAATGTTAAATGAACATAATCCTTTTTTAGGATAGTATTCATGCGCTGCTCAAAGATCGGTTGATAAAGACATATCAACCATAGACTACCACCAATCGCTGCTAGACGTGCGCAATGAGTGGTGAGCAGGTTGTCGTCATACGACAAAGTAGTTTAATTTAGTTAGATAAAGACTGAAGTTATATTGATAGCTTAACTACATTGAATACATTTCTCTTTTTACCCTTTAGTCAGCTTAGTTGTCAAGTAAATTAGCTTCCTCTGCACGTACTATTGTACGTGAAGTTTCGCGGCACCCCAAACGAAGGGTGCCCCGTTACATCCTGACTGTAAGGACTTTGCTCTACCTGACGGGGTGTCATTTATTCGTACGTACGCATATGACGTGACTTGAGGTTTTTCGTGAAAGAATTGCGTGATGCAAGGACGTTCTGATGATGGCAAGTTGGTTTTGCCGGTGTCAGTTTTGCATTCCCGAGAGCACATGGTGGCAAAAAGGGCAGCATATGAGCGTAAACCCACGTTCTTCTGTTTCATGCTAACTGGAGTCTATAGCGTTCGTACAAAAAGCTTTGCACTGCACTGATTTGGACAACATGGAAGAGGTGAGGCACTGCTGGAGGATGCATTGATTAGCACTTGGACATGCTTGGTTGATTAAGTCGCTCGTGTTTGTCATGCAGCATCTGTTGATGAGGCAGATCTGGAATGGAGACCTCAATACTGTGCTTATTTTATCATCACCCCTTCTTCTTGCTTTTCAATGAAATTGTCGGGTAAGTAAAACACGGCAATGATACTAAGAAGTGGAATGCTGTAAAATGTCAAGTTTTGTATCATTTCGTTTTGGATAAATTGCAGCTGGATGTATCGATGCCGACATCATAGGACGGAAGATTCGATAGTGCAACAAAGATTGATCGGGCGTGTAAAGAGTACAAACTGATCGGTTTTAGTGTTTTTTGCCATGGCATGACTAACTGCAATCCTGTAAAAGAAATTGTTTGACAATAGGCATCTGTACCGTACTTTATCGGACTACATACCAGCTCATTAGATACCCAGGTGGGGGCAGAAATGTTTGCATCGTGTGTCGTCGTGCACTTGGACAAAGACAAAGTTGTATCTCCGATTTCCTCCCGAGTCGAAAATTCGTTTGTAGAATGGGTCCCACCCCGATTAATCGCAACTGAAGTAGCGGCCGTCCTGGATTTGCTTAAAATGTCGTCCCAAACCCTATCGGACACCCCTATCCTCGCTTGCATCCCACTCCAGAGTGTCATTGATCTGCTTTCGACTCAGTCAACGAGGTCGAACTGAAATTTGGTGAGGTACCGGTACGTACTTATACGTGAGACATGGTAAGAAGAAAGGGGTCTCGGATTGAATGTACTGTGCTTGCCTCAAGCTTGGGATCACGTTCGAGTCGACGCACCTTCGTCTTCTAGCGCCATCAACTCTAATACCAAGCGCCAGCTGGGTGGGTCTGCAGTCGTGAAGTCGCTGCCCAGACTGCTGACTGGACTTTCAGGTCCAGCAGAGTATTCGGGGCTGGTATCCGCTGAGAGCTATCTGATCGGTATCAATGGTCATTCCACGCTGGACCTGACGTTTGAGGAGACTATCAATTACTTGCAATGTACAAGCTGTCTAATCCGCTTGCAGTTCTTAAATGCGACACTTCCTTACAAGAACGCTTGCAGTTTCGCTGGCCGACTGCAAGCTTTGTCGCTGGCGCCATCTATGCAGACCAAGTTGTATAATCACTCGCCATTGTGGGTGGATACGCTGCGTGGGGCCTTTGCTGCTCTGTTTGCGAGCATGTGCCGTGACAATCAACGCTTTGTTAACAGCCACGGTCAGGAACCCGATACTTGCACTGGTGACAGACAAAATGCGCTTCCAACAGTAATTGAGAAGGTGAGGTAAATTCAGGTACGCTGGCGACCCGCTATATTCAGTATGGCAGTTATCAAAATCACCACACTTACATCTTAGTTATAAGCTTAGAATAGTTTGATTCCACGAAAGACGCCTCCGCGCAGCGCGAGGTGCTTTCGTGAAAGAAATCGGTCTTTTTCTGTGTAAGTGGGTCCACTTAAATCTGCGTGTTCGGAAGTAAAAGTCTCGATCCAGTGATTGACGTCGTTGCCAAGGTGTGCAGCCAGCTCCTGAACGAATCTTCGGCCTGAAGGGATTCGGACTTGGACGGAGCTGCACGTGTCCATGGCTATATTCGCCGCACAGTCAGCCATTCTGTTGTAGTCGCGGTAGTGATGACCCCAGCTGACCACAGCTAATTCGTCGGCCATATCTCTCGCCACATCGTTTAAGTGCGCCAATTGGGGTCTACGCGGTGAGCGAAAGGTCCTGAGTTTCGAGAGCACCAAAGCACTGTCCTTTACAGTATGAATAGACGACAACACGCCTTCTTTAGTGCGGCGTAAACCGTGCACGAGACCTTGATATTCGGCAAAATTGTTAGTAGTACTTGGATTGAATATGCCATGCTGGCAACCCACACGATGCCGGCTGTGTGGGTAGGTGTGTGAATGACAATAACGGTCCAGACCCTCCCTGCCCAGAGTTTCTCAAGATCCCCCATCGAATAAAAGCAGGTATAGCATACCTGGCTGGTCAGCAAGACGTATTGATCGCAGTGGAAACAAATTAATCGTGTAGTAGAAGTGTGTCGGTCAATTCCGATCGCACCTGCGCTAGTATCTGGCTATCAGCCCCACCTTCCGGTTGGTATAAAGAGATTCGAAATTGTGTCAGTGCGCGACGCAGGTGTGACGTAGCCCTGAAAAGGTGCACTTCTTCTGGCAGGGTGGGATCTCGCATCCGAATCAGGCGCTCAATTTGTGTAGCATGTAGCGACGACATTACGACTAATCGCCACAGCTCATTCGCCGCGTAAAAGACTGCTGACTTTGCTCGCCACTTTCCTCCGTTTGAGCTTTTTTACAGCAGCACAGACGATGTCTGTAGAGATGACCATCGTGACTGCTGCGTCGTCAAAACCTGTTGGGGGAGAGGCTTGCGCCAGAAAGGTTGCATTGGCTGTCGGGGAAGTGAAGTATCGGAGCATGATAAATCTTTAAACTTCTGTCATTTCTTCCGCGATTTCTTGATAACGCGTGTGCCCGTACGAATCTCGACCGCCGAGATCCATGATCGTGTTGTCTTGAAACTTGGTCGCTACCCGGGCAAAGAAGCGGCGGGTTGTCTCGCCGGGGCAGTACGTGTGCTGAACAAGAAGAGTCTCGCTAGCTCGCTGCCACATGCGTCGGAACTCTGCAATTCGGCTGCGAATTTGCCGAGAAGAAACCACCGCTGTAGACTGTTCGTACGGCTCGGTGATCTGCAGGTCTTGTAGAGCCTTGGCTGGCTCAGCAAGAAGTGCTTTATTAAACCTCTCATACAGTCGCCGGGGCCTCTGCTTGTAGCTGCGCGTCATACGCTGTCTTGCAGCTTTGGTTGCAGTCAGAAGCGATATTCTAAGCTGCGTCTTCCAGCAGTCATACCATTCCGCAAGCCGACGAGCTGTCGCTACCTCTTCCAGATTCTAATAGCGGTCCTTGTCGGTATGGTGCCGCGCTATATTCAGTGCAGTAAAAATGACTGCTTCACGTCTGCTTTAGCAATCTCTGGTACGGGGTATACACGACGCGGTCGTCTAAATCGGAAGGTGCAGTGAGGTGCCCCAAGACATATCGAGACACCATTATGGTCGAAGGTAGGCCTTGGAACGGACTGGTGAACATCTCTACCCATTGAGCATGATGGGAGCTACATACCATCTTTCCAGACGGGAACTGGCAGCTCTCCCTCCAGGAAGGGTATAAAAGTACGTGTGCGCTGAGGCGTGGAACTCAGGAATTGAACGCTCATCAACCGCCCCTTAAATTTCATCCTTAAGGACGTCACTCATGTATAATCGTGTGAGGAGTCGTCGTAGAGCAGGGGAATCATGGCGGTCTGCTGGGGTCGCATTTGAACGATCGATACGTGGGTGAAGGGTTTAGTTAAAATCGCCACCCATCAAAACCGGACTACCATGCTCTGCAACAATTAGTCGAACGAACTCATAAAGGTCTTCCGATCCCCCATGGCTATTGGTGCGTATACATTCATGACTAGAATGGAATCCTCCTTATGGGTGATCCGAACCGCCATCCAATGGCGAGCCCATAAGTCCTCCTTCCAAGGTTCCAATAACTGGATGAAGGAGTAGGGATGAAGGAGGATGGCGATGCCGCCCCGGGGGTCTGTCGCTTCTGTCCAGATTGTGCGCCCAGGTTCCTATTCGAAACCCCATGTTTGGTGGTATAGCTTGTCCATAGAATCTGCTTCCCCAACGGCGACATATGTTTACTGCAGAAAAACCAAGTCAATGGCCTTTAAGTCTTCTTGCTGTCGAAAATGGCCAAACCACTTTGCGCACATGTCCGGGTGTTTGCAAAACCCAGCAACGTTTTGTGAATGAAGACCAATAGTATTTTCTTGCGGGTGCATGCGACGTCGTGCGAGTGAGTGGTGGATATTTCTTTGTATGCCACATCCGATATTTGGATAGCGTGCTCGTGGGGTCGTCTTTTGCCATCTTTTTCTCAGAGAAATGGGTGCATCCACGTGTCCCGCCGCAGGAATTCGATCGGTTGCGGTGCCCTTAACAATGGAGAGATAACGGCCGATCCTCATGAGCAATGAGATCGATAGCCAGTTTCCAATTGGACGACTTGGCGAGCACCCGTACAACGGCAGCCTGAACAGCAGCGGAGGTGTAATTTTGTCGTTTTAAATTTTTGAAATAAAGAACGTTGATTTTTTTTTGCATAAAATCGATAATAATACATAAAAGAATATGGAGACAATCGGATTCGAACCAACAACCTTACATTTGCAAAACATACTTACTACCAATTGAAATAAATCCCCAATAAGTGTATTGGGATTTGAACCCGAGACTGTCGGATTTAAAGTCCGGTGCTCTACCAACTGAGCTATGCACTTATATTGAATAAAATATAAATAAAATTAAAAGCAAATTTTGATTTTTTATTTAAACAAATAAATTAGATACTTTAAAAGAAAATTTAGCTAAAAGGAAATTTGAAAAGAATTAGAAAACAATTGCGTATTTTAGCAACAGATTTTACAAAGAAAAATTACAAATAAATAAAATTTTAATAAATTATAAATAGAATTCATTAAGTAATTTTATCTTGCCGCCTTAGTCTGCGGCATCACCACAGCGGTCTCACGCTCGGGTGGCATCAAACATGGAAGTAATATACTTAATACGTTCTATACTCCCCAGTTATCGATGTCCGTAACCGGATGACCACGGTTGCACACAGCCAATCTGGTTGCAACGTATTGACGCGACGCCATCGTTAAATCGAATCGGTAGTCCGCCATATAATTTTTTCCCCTCTGACCGTCGCCGTTGCAGCCCATCCCTTGCATATTTCACGAAGGTGCTCATCGTGATGGTTGGCATCACGAAAGGGTATCGCGAACACCAGAGTCGCGAGCTCGGACGAACAATGGGTTATTGAATCGTTCTGGCCTGGCGGGCTTAAGGGTGACAAAACATGTGGCAAGGCAACCAGTCGACGTGCGGCTACCCAGGAATTGAGCTTGGTCTCGTTCGCTTGAATCTGTTTTGTGCGCTCCGGGACTGCTGCCTCAATTACTGCATCCTAGGCTGTAATGGGGCAACCCATTATATTAAGTAGTCATAGTTTTATTACATAATTACATACATTAAGTGTAGGCAGTATCCGGATAGCGGATACTGCGCGTCTATTTATTATTGGTTTATTATTGGGGTGCCAGACCCAATAATTAGCCAATAATAATTAGTTCTGTATTTGAGTGGTTCCCATGAGCAAGGGAACATATTCGCACTTACTGCGAATTATAAAAACACAAAAATACAAACAGAGTTAAATTTACCTTATAAATCACAGCGCTTCCTCAGCTTAATTATTAGTGTAAGACGGTAACGGGCTCTCACCCCGTTACACCTGGTAGCACTTAGTAGTCCTTCCCATGACCAAGTTCGAGATGGATATGAGTGAATCTTCGATGGCTCCAGCAGTTTCGCTGGAGCATGCAGATTTTCCCCATCTCACTACGGTAGAATGGCAGGCATTACACCGCCTTGCGGCGGTGTCTGGTGAAATCTTCGTAACGTCGCTGCTGAGCACAGCGACGCCCTAGCAACACCATGCCTCCATCCAAGACGACAGGGTGCGTGAGATCGCCGAAGCGATACAGCGAGTATAGATTCCCTCGTGCACCTCCCATTACGATGCAATTAAAATGGAGACGTCGACATACTCTGGTGATGGTCCAGATCGTCTCCCCCTTAATCGCTGGTTTAGGGAGATTGATATCGCCATAGCGTCAAGGTTGATTGACGCTCCGACGGCCAAGGTTAATTTCCTACTGTCTCGGCTTGTTGGTAAAGCCAAAGAATGGGCTCTTGGGAAGCTCGTTGTAAACGAGTTGGCATTCCCCACGCTGGACGATATCCAGCGCGACTTACGACTGGCGTTCGAGCCCCCTCCAGATGAGTCACGCTTGCGCGCAGATTTCTTTTCACTTCGACAGGGCAAGCTGTCGATTCGTGATTACGTACAGAAGACGCGACATCTTGCTTCGTGTATCATCACGAAGCCGGTCGACATGGCGTCTCAAGTTCATGTCTTTGTCTTTGGTATGCAAGAGGGCATGACCCGCTATTGCCTCACACGTGCTGAACCTAAGACTCTTGAGGAGGCATTTGCCCTCGCGCTTCGTGAAGATTACACGGTCGCATCGTCATATTTGCAGGCAGCGTCGCAACGCTCGCGTACGTCTGGCCCAGAGCCTATGGAAATTGACGTTATCGATGCATCTCGTGGTCGCGGCAAGCAATTTGGCCGCGACATTCGAAGTCAAAACACGATGAAGTGTTATCGGTGCGGCAAGACTGGCCATCGTGCGGCCGTCTGCCGAGCACCAGCGCCGGTGTCCATGAACACAGCTGTCTCACGTGGAGATACTGTGTCGTCAGTGATCCCGCCAAAAAACGAGCGGTTCCAGTAGGTGCGGGGCGCCCTACTGGCAGTAATGGAGCCCCGAGTACTCAGGTGGCAGCTCGGGCTCCTAGCCCTAAAGTGATACATACCCACTTCAATGCCACCACTATGCGCGACGATTCGAGACTGATAATTATCAGTCTCATCGTTGCTGGAGTTAAACGACCACTTCGAGCATTGTTGGATTCGGGTGCATCCAACAACTTCTTTCGAGCATCATGTTTGTCCCTTCTCCCGTCGACAGTTACGGTTCGAGAAGGTCCAGGTGACATCGTTGTCAAACTTGCTGATGGACAACCACAGCGTGTCCCGCGTAAAACAGTGGTTTTGCCGTACACGTTCGACGGCTTCCAAAGTAATGACGAATTTTTGGTGTACGAGATAAATTATGCATTCGATTGCATCTTGGGGATACCGTGGCTATCACGATATCAGCCGACGATAGACTGGCTATCTCGGTCCGTCAAACGACGAAGCGGTTACGACGTAAGTGAAGTTTTCACTCATCTGTTGGTAGCGCCATCCGATTGGCCTCACGTCAGGGTCGTGAACGAACTCGCCACGACTAGAAGTCAGCACAGAGAGAGCGATGGCCCTCTGTGTCCGGTATGTTCAGTCACACTGATAGAACCACAACACGAGGCGGTCGAACAGAGGTTCCCGCAAACCCAGACATCGGTCGAGCAGGGGCTCCCGATTCACAACGATACGGTCGAACAGTGGTTCCCGCAAACACAGACATCGGTCGAGCAGGGGCTCCCGATTCACAACGAGGCGGTCGAACAGGGGTTCCCGCACACACGGACATCGGTCGAGCAGGGGCTCCCGATTCACAACGAGGCGGTCGAACAGGGGTTCCCGCACACACGGACTTCGGTCGAGCAGGGGTTCCCAATTCACAACGAGGCGGTCGAACAGGGGTTCCCGCACACACGGACTTCGGTCGAGCAGGGGTTCCCGAGTTCTAGCGAGGCGGTCGAGCAGGGGCTCCCGCATACACACACAACGGCCGAGCAGAGGCTCCCGATTGTAACCGAGGTGGTCGAGCAGAGGCTCCCACATACATCTGAGGCGGTCGACGACGAGCTCCCGCCTCTTATCGACGAGAATGAACGGGCTGTGGACTTAAATGTGAACGACGTGGTGGAGACAGAGCTCCCACGTCTAGCGGGGGGTACTTCATCCTCCAGCGACAGCGACGTTCCAGCCTCGAGCAGTGGCTCAAGACGCAAGAGAAAGCATAAACGCAAGAAAGGTGCACGCCGATCACCAAGACGACGAAATTCTCGCTCAAGCGCCGTTGACGATGATACTGTATTGACGGAATCCGTTTGTGCGCTTGAATATGTGGAAGGGTCTTCACATCGTGGCCGCTACGTTGAGGTAGCGAGCTCTTCGTGCACTGTTGCAGAGATCACATCTCTATTAACCCTACCATGGAAAGATTTTCTTCACGACCTCAAGGCCGGCGACATCGAGCAAGTGTGCATCATATCAGCCGCCGAAGCAGCTAGTGGAGAAGTTCTGGAGGCTCGCCCAAAGAGCGCTGAGCCCAAATCAGCGCGCGAAGAACGTTTCGTGGCACAGTCTTGGGAAGCCTTTCGTGCTTCGGGCAACCCTGTCTATGATATCGCGCGTGAGTATGCCGACATCTTTCCGGAGAATATCCCCGCTGAGCTTCCAGCGGATCGTGGTGTGCGACACGAGATCGATCTCGTGCCGTGATCGAAGTATTGCGTGACGCGGCAGTGGCCGCTACCGCGTGACCAAGTCATCGCAATTGATGAATTTTTTGAGGGCCGCCGTAAGGCAGGACACGTCCGCGAAAGCATATCGCCACATTCGAGTCCGACTTTCTGTGTGAAGAAAGCCACCGGCGGTTGGCGCATCGTGCATGCTTTTAACAAGTTGAATGACGCCACGATCCCGGCTCAAACACCAATTCCTCGGAAAGACATGGTACTGGATACCATGTCCGGCAGCGAGATTTTTAGCGCCATAGACCTGACAGACGGGTTTTGCCAAATTTTAATGAGGGACAGTGATATCCCGTTCACCGCTGTCAGCACACCGAGTGGGATGCTTTGGGAGTGGCTAGTCATGCCACAAGGCCTTAAGAACGCTCCAGCAACGTTCAACCGGATGGTGACACAAGTGCTTCGGCCACTACGTGATTTCGCTCCAAGTTATTTCGACGATATTTTTGTTCACAGCCGCGCTGAGCAACAACTCAGCGCTACGGAGGTCCACCTTCGGCATTTGAAACAGGTGTTCCAAGTGATGCGCGAGAACAAACTGTACGCAAATTTGAAGAAGTGTGTCTTCTGCGCTCCCGAGATTCCAGTTCTTGGATGCTATGTTAGCAAGGAAGGTGTCCATGCTGAACCCGAGAAAGTGTCATCGATATGTTCATGGCCTACGCCCAGGAACCAAACGGAACTACGCCAATGGCTTGGCTTGGCCAATTACTTGCATAAGTATACGAAGAACTATGCAGAACTAATCCAGCCACTATCGACTCTACTGAAGAAAGACGCAGTTTGGTCATGGAAAGCTGAACATCACTCTGCCTTCAACTCTGTGAAAAAGAGCTTGTCTGAAGCACCAGTGCTGATGTTGCCTGATGATTCCAAGTCATTTCACGTCGTCTGTGATGCGAGTAATTTCGCTATTGGATGTGCCCTCATGCAGTTTGACGATGAGGGCCGAGAGCGCGTCGTGAGCTTTCAGTCACGACAGATGAAACCTCCGCAGAGCGGAACTATCCGGTACATGACAAGGAACTTTTGGCTATGCGTTACGCGCTGATCAAGTTCAGAGTATATTTGCTCGGCGAGAAGATGTTTTCGGTCTATACAGATCACGCATCATTGCGTACCGCCGTCAAGACTCCCCACTTGTCCCAGCGTATGGCACGTTGGTTGTCATACTTCTCAGAGTATAATTTCGTGATCTTTTACAAACCCGGCAAGAACAACATTCTTGCTGTCGCGCTTTCTCGACGTCCTGATTATGATCCTCGACGTGACATGGGTCATCAGCCAGGCATTGCTGAAGACGAGGACGACGACATTTGTTTATGCTGTGCTGAGCAGGGGCTCAATGCAATGATTTCGACACCTGAGCTGTCAATCCGGACTCAAATCGCTGAGTCATATGCGAACGATTCATTCTACACGGGAATCATCAATTATCTTCGACACCCTAGTGAGGGTTCACTCGCGAAGTTGACGAAACCAACGCGTGACAACATCAAGCGGTACGCGCTTGATGGTCCGCTGCTGACTTATACAATGGACGTTTTCGACCCACCGCGCGTCGTCATCCCTGCTGATGACGACCTCCGCGCACGATTGGTGCATGAATTTCATGACACTCCAACTTGTGGTCATTTGGGTCGCGAGAAGACGTTCGCGGCCATCTCTCGTGTGTTTTTCTGGCCGCGTATGTACAAATACATCCAGAAATGGGTACGCTCTTGTGAAATATGCCAGCGTGTGAAGCCTGCGCCGTCTTCACAAGCTCCATTGCGTCCGCTTCCGTTTGCCACGGAAGCCTGGCGTTCGGTCAGCATGGATTTCATCTTTGGTCTCCCTCCGGACGAACAGAAACGCACGGGCGTATTGATTTTTGTGGATCGATTTAGCAAAATGGTGCATTTTGCTCCAGTCTCCGCGCACGTTACGGCGGAGACGACCGCGCAGATCTTCATCGATCTCATATTTCGACATCACGGCTTGCCTGAATCAATTGTTTCGGACCGCGACCCGCGCTTTACATCAGCTTTTTGGGCAACGTTGTTTCAACTATTGGGCACGCGACTGCTTATGTCTACGACAGCCCATCCAGAGACGGATGGGCAAACGGAGCGCGTGAACAGAGTGCTTGAAGATGTACTACGCAGTTATGCGACATCGTTCCAGTCGTGGAGTTCGTTTCTCCCTCTCGCTGAATTTGCAATCAACAACGCAATTCATGCGTCGACTGGGTTAACGCCATTTTTCGTGAATAACGCGAGGCACCCTCGCGTTCCAGCGCTTCTTGCTCTTTCAGCTTCAGCACACCCAGTTTCTCAGCTTGGTGGGGGAGTATCTCCCGATGACACTACGCGAAAAATTTTGATGATTGGTAATGTTGAAGACAAGGTTGCTGCCGATGCAACTCATACTGTTAATTTCGTGGCCAATGGCATATCGAGCCCCAACGCGATGCATCCCATCGCGTCTCCCGTCGCTAATTTTCCTCCTAAAGAGTCCACTTCTCCTGTAAGTTCGGCTGCTGTGACCGAATTCCTTTTACTACGGCAAAGTATCACGCGTTTTGTACGCGATGCACTCCAAGAAGCAGTGGATAAACAAAAGGAGAACGCGCACAAGCGAGGTCGAAAGAACTTGCTGACGTTCAAAGAAGGTGACAGAGTCTTACTATCGACAAGCGGATTACCAGACACGTCAGTAACGAATTTGGGCGCTAATAAATTAGCGCCAAGATATATTGGGCCCTTTCGGATTGTTGAAGTCCATGGAGATGCTTACACGCTAGACATACCTACCACTATGCGTTTGCACCCGACATTCTATGTCGGGCGCCTTAAGGCTTACCTGCCGGCGGATCTCCCTTTGGTCCTTCCTCACTCGTCTGTATCGGCTCAAAGTCCGACACCCCCTGCCGACGACGCTGACGACGACTGGGACCAAGTCCTAGACGAGCGCGAGCAGACTCGTTCTGCTGGGGTCCACCGAACGCAGCAGTCTCGAGCTGTCGCAGACGCTCCACCAAGCCCTGCTGCTCCCGTCGGGTTCTCTCGGCAGCCTCTGTCGCAGCTGCTGCACGATCTCGAGCCCTCTCGGCCATCTCACGGGCATCCAGAAGGCCGTTCATCGCCTCTTCAGTGTCAGCACGAAGGAAAAACAACCCCTCCCTCCGCCGGCAAGGAAACGAACCTCGCCCCTCGGCCGCACAGGCCCCCGATTAAAAAAAAAGGCGCCCGATTATGAGAATCGGCGCCCAACCCAAGAAGCCTTCCGTCTTGATGCTCCTCCTCCCTTGGTAGATGCATCGGGTGAGCGACGCTGGATTGTGGACCGTATCGTCGGTCATGAAGACCCCACGCCTCTTGCGCCGAGTAGTGGCTCGGCGCCATCGAAGAGTCGTTCAGAAACGCATTACAAGGTCCGATGGTTGGGTTATTTACCAACGGAAGACACGTGGGAGCCTCGAAGTATGCTGGCTCACGATGTTCCTGACGTCGTTGAGGAGTACGAGACCAGTAAGAGGTCGGCGAACGCGACCGACGCTGCTGACTCCTTCCACGATCCCGCGAACCGTAACGTGCGTGAATTGGCGATCGACGACGATCTCCCGAGCGACTCCGACGTCTTCTACGAGGCTCGGGAGCATATGGATACCTTGACGGTCGAGAGCGACTACGAGAATGACCTCGGTGGTCGTAAGACAAACGATCTCGACTACGTGAACGCCTCCATTGATCGACAGGGCGTTCCCTCATGTGACGCAACGCAGATACCTGGAGCTCTGAGAGGCTCCTCTCATAGCGTCCGATCCATGGTCGGATGTGCTGGGGCATTCCCCGTGCACACACCATGTCGTCCCATTCCTGCCGCATTGGTCGCGGTCTCTCCATGTGACACCGTGGACACCCTTCACGGACATGGACGTAACACATGTGGAACCCATCACGAGTCAAATGACATACGCGTCGTCGTAAGTCGCCAATAGCGTGGTCGCCATGAGTACTTTCGCGTCCCTTGATCCAGGACGTGAAGGATGCCCCCTTCACGTCGACTCGCGTTCCAACGTCTGATGAAGGCACACCAAGATCGTTGCAGTGCGTCTTCAGTGTATGTGTGATTCGTTCCCTTGCCTCGAACGTTACGGTATCGTGTGAAGAGATTCTTCATGGTCTCAAGTGATTCAGGTTGGTGCGCGCCTTCAAGGCTGTACAAGCCCCACGGCTTCAAGTCGTCATCCATGGTCTGCGGTGCACGCTCTCTTCGAAGTGTCTGATGACCCCAACTGTCGTTTGGGGTCGAGTCGCGTGGGTGTTCAGGATTCATGCTGCTCAGTTGTTTGTGGCTGAGCAGATTCGAAGACCAAGATGACGTGTCGTTGGAGTTCTCGTTGGGCTTTTCGTTGGACTATTCGTTAAGAAGAAACTTTCTGTGTATGGCGCTTACGTCACGGTAAGCGTAACTTGAAGAGGGGGGTGATGTAATGGGGCAACCCATTATATTAAGTAGTTATGAGTTTTATTTCATAATTACATACATTAAGTGTAGGCAGTATCCGGATAGCGGATACTGCGCGTCTATTTATTATTGGTTTATTATTGGGGTGCCAGACCCAATAATTAGCCAATAATAATTAGTTCTGTATTTGAGTGGTTCCCATTAGCTAGGGAACATATTCGCACTTACTGCGAATTATAAAAACACAAAAATACAAACAGAGTTAAATTTACCGTATAAATCACAGCGCTTCCTCAGCTAATTATTAGTGTAAGACGGTAACGGGCTCTCACCCCGTTACATAGGCAGTGCCAGGAAGTTCTCGGTTCCGCGTAGCTCTGAGCGTTTGTGCATGGCCGGCTGGAGTCCGTATGTTGCCTTTTGTCGGATGGACCGCTAAAGTGGTGACCGTTAGAACATTACGCGTAAAGCCGGTGGGTATGGTGCTCCCACATTCACTGTGAGAGGTATCTGCGATATCGCTTTCCGATAGCTGAATTTCTTCAGCGACGGCTAGGGCGAGAGCTGCAAGAATAGGTACACTAGATGCACATTGAGGAAAAGTGACTTCTCCCCATTTAAATTATCTAATCGCATCGTGTATTCATACGTGACGCCACCGTTCATCGTGATTACGTCCAGATTTTGCAGGATCGAGAAAATCCGGTCCGGTTGAAACTCGGTCTCCGCAGGTGACCATACGTGTGTAAGGGGCGTGGAGGCGGTCGTCACTGCCGATGGGTACGGGACCGCTTTTTTATGTTCTTCTACCCTCCTGCGGCGGACATACGACGACAAAGTCGCTGGATTGTAGCGCGGCTATCTTAATGTATGATTGCCACCTTTTCCGCCGGTGTCTCCTCCGGCGTGAAAACGGTGATGACTGAAGGTGTCGACTCAGCTGAAGTAACCTTTGCAAGTCGCCGTTCCATGGTTTTCAAGTCAATGTTTGCAGCAGAAACCACTGCCTCTGCGTGCGAAGCTGTGGTGAGAGCAATTAAATAGTTGGTTCTCAATCCGGGCAGCTCTGTGCCATCCAAGTCGCTTGGTGGACCTTCCCCAGCGTAAAATGTTTCTTGTGCGATTGTCGGTTGCAACACCCTCCCATGAGCCTCAAAGTACTTCGCCTTTGTCTCAGATGCAATTCGATGTTCTTCCTCCGCTGCCGCCTGCAACGCGATTACGCGCAACTTTGCTTGATCAACTTAATCCTGAGCGACGGCTCGGGCTGTAGCACCTGTGGGGCTTGTTTTGACCGCGCCTGAGGAAATGTTTTTTAGCGGAGGGGTTTGGCTCTGGACTTCTGTCCTCGTCAATCTGACATAATTCAGCAAGCGCTGTCACTCTGCGACTAAATGGGGTCGAAGTATTGGTAGGAGGCCTTTTAAACGCGGCCTTATCGCCTGTGAAGTGGTCAGGGAGGAAACAGGCTTAGTACGCTTACCGGAGATGGCCTGTGTCGGGGAAGTTGGAGCTGTCGCTCGAGGAGGAGTACGGGAGCTGCTGGCAGGCGACTGCTGAACGTGAGCATGGTGTTGTTGCTGTCTATAAAAGCCGTGGCCTGTCTTAAGCTGTTGCTAGATTTGCGCTGTTTTCGTGGTTTCTTGTTGCCACCGGGGTCGAACCAGTCACCTGCTGCTAGATCCCGGGCAAAATCATCGTCGCATTCGGTTTGGTTCTGGCACTCGGTCGCAGAGGCGCTCGGCTTCATCCGATCCAGTTCAGGAACTGGAGACTGCTGTAACTTCTGCAGCAGTGGTGCTTTGCGCGAGTCCGCTTGCAACTTGGCCTTGGAGGCTGCCAGACGATCTGTCATGTTGTTGACATGCTTGACATGGCCCGCCACATCGAGGACGGTGAAGGTTAATTCAGGCAAGAGGATGGGTGCGTGGGATTCTCCCGAGTACTCCCTGTGGTGGTCCAGGAGGTGAGCACCTGAACGAGAGGCGCACTTTGTGCTCAAATAAAAAAGATACTAGCAGTTGAAACATGGAAATCGCTGAAATTTCCGATGCTGGTGTACGAAGAACGACGCACCAATCGCAGATGCGTGCGTAACCAGCTTCAGTTGATCCGGACAAGTGGCAGCATCGAAGGAAACCCGAAGTAATTGGAATTGTAGGCGTCTGTCGCGCTGAGTAAGCCGCGGGTAACCGAGGTCACCGTGCACTTCACACAAGACGATAGAATGGCCTGGACTGTCCCGACCGACACGCCGTTGTCGAGAACACGTAATTGGAACTGCAAAAGTCCACGACTATGCGGCCGAACAGTAGTCATGTCAGAAGGAAGATCTTCGCGCTCTAAAATGGCCGGGATATATAATTGAAGCGTGGCGCCTCTGTTTTCAATTACTTTCGAGTGCCACCCCGCTGTCGCCGCTTGATTCATGAGCACAAAATAAATGCGGCGAGTTATTGAATCGTAGCACGTACGTTTAGCAGTCTTTACGAGGGTACGAGCTAGGTCTGCCACCGCCTGCTGGCCTTCACGTCGTTCAAGTAATTGAAGAAGTATGGTCTTCTCCGCATTATGTTGAGGCATTCGGATGGACAAAGTAACTACCGCAAGAACGTTTCCTTCCATTCGGATGGATAAAGTAACTACCGCAAGCACCTTTCCTTCCAAACACACTTCGTATTATTCCAGCATTGCAATCCTCGCTGCCCGCGTGTGCGTGCATGCCAGGAAGTCCGAAGGGGAAGGCAGTACAATTCCCCCATCTTCCAAGCCGCCAGCGCTTCTCCCTTCAATGTAATCATTGGTCTTAATTTATCGTCCGGTTTTCTTTCCATGACTTTGTAGCGGTAAGTACTAACACCCGCCCGTGGTCACCTCGTTCGCTGTCACCCTTTACCGCCGCCGCGTAGTTTAGGGGCACCGAATGCAGCCCGCAAACGCTCTATGTTCGACCGACCGCTGGTCGATCGCTCGCCGGCTGATGGCTCGGTATGCGAGCATTTGGACCCGGTGAGGTTAAATAGTAGACCTGACCCGACCGTCTCATCGAGTCGCTCCGGCTTCCGATCGGCTTTGGTTCTTCTATATACCCCCCTTGCACAATCCTCCCCGGTCCGCCGGGCCCGGCGGTTGCCAGGTCCGAGGACGGCCCGGGTTCCATACGACCAGTCTGCTTGAGGAGAGCGTTCCCGCCTTGCAAGATAGACGCCTTTCGACGCATTTGCCCGCATTTAACTGTGTTTAGAACAGTGACGGTACATTTCCACGAGCCTAAGTATTAACTTGCGTATAAAAGCGTAAATTCAGAAGTGAATGCGCTTCCAACAGGCGAAGACTACAATCGCATACGACGCTGTTCTTCAGCACCTTCTTCGTTTACACAGTTTGACCACAAGTCTTTCGCGACGCGGTGACCTCTAATCGGAGAATCCTGCTCGAGTTCACTCCGACACAGTGTTTCGCTAGTTTTGTGAACGAGAGAATTTCATCATGCAACCGGTAGCTGGATCTACTTCGTGCGCGCTTTTTCATGAGTGTATACATCTCATTCGTGATTTCAGCAAAGCAAGGGCGGCTATTGTGCTTTTGTTTGGGCGGGATGGTTCACCAACGGTGTAACGGGGCACCCTGAAGCTTGTACTGGTGACAGTACAAGCTACTTATTCTGATAACAGAATAAGGCGGTGCCTCGTAACTTCACGTACACTCGTACGTGCAGAGGAAGACGGTAAGAAGAAGCGAGTACTTGGTTAGAGTAAAAAGTAGAACTGTATTTATAATAGTTAATGTCTGCAATAAATCACTATTTATCTTCATCTAACTATGTCTAAATACAAATGTGTAAATCAGTTATCTGCTCACCACTCATTGCGTGCGTCTGTCGTGGGCGTCTTCGTTGGTTGATATAATGGCCTATATCAACCAATTAGGAACTACTTGGAAGTGCTACAGAATATTGTCCTTATGACAATATTCTGAGAATATAACTCTTATAGTTATATTCTATTAACAATTTCTTATAAATTGTTATGTAACGATTCACCCCGTTACATCACCCCCTTAACCATCAGTCACTTTAGTGACTGATTGACTAATGGATACTCGTCCCAAATCATTTGGGACGGGGTTTGCACTTGTTGGTCCGCGTCCACTTTCCAACATCTCATCGCATGGTAAACAAGCCCATGCGATGCGCGAGCAAGGCCGCCGAGAGCGCGTCTGACGTCTCTGTGCGGACGCCGAAGCAGAAACTACAGCAACTGATGTCCCATCGGTTGCTGAATCGACTCAGCCTGTATCACCTGGTGATGCAGGCGCTGGTCATGAAGACACTCGTGTCTTCACAGAGTACGAGCTCGGTGTCTCGTACTCTCCTGATACGGATGACGGATCCGTATCGACGGCAATTGAATCCAAGCCGCCTGCCAAGCGTGGCATGGACGATGCTTTGCGTCGCAGCATCTTTGGTTCATCTGATGAGTCAGATGAACCATCGCCGAACGAAGGCGCTCGAGGTCGCGAGACTCGGGCGCTAATAGTGGTGTCGTTTCTCCAATGGACACCACTTCACAGCGAGGTGCCAGTACTTCTGTCGGCACGTCGCAGGAAGAGCGGGACCGCAATGTGTTGCGTCTCGCTCCAGAAAAGAAGGCATGGATGCCTCCTAAATCTGTCATGGATCACTTGTCGGCGACGACGAGTGATCGTTATCGAACACGATTGTTCGATTCGTCGAGGATTCATCACCTTGACCCCAGCGCGAAAGACTATCGCGCTGAACATGAGTTCTTCATCGATGCTTTCTTCAGACATCGATGGTACAGTGGGAATCACAAACGTGATGGTCCCTCACTACTTCAGGCGTGGAACGCCTACATCCATAATCTCGAGGATGTAGGTCGTGACGCTTGGAACGACAAACTTATCAAAGCTCGTGATAAGTTTGAAAAGCGAACCCCGACAGGTGCACGCTATAAGCTGCATCGTCTGTCAAGGGAGAAAGGATTACCCTGCCTCTCTTGGGGAGACTCGTGCCCATGTTGTGTGAACAACTCTGCACGAGCACCTAAGGAGGCTTACCTCCTTACCAGCCCGTGGTGGCGCGTACGTGTCTCTACTGAGATGTACGAAGGGATTGACAACCTGAAATCCCTTTACGACCGTGCCGGGAAGACTTTCTCCGGCGGTCCTTCTGCGGCACAGGATGTGTCGCGTCGTACTGCTCGACCAGACCCAGTACGTCAACCATCAATTGGGAGCGGGGCTCCCAAGAATCCCAGGACGGGGGATAGCCGCGCCACCGGACGAGGTAACTCGTCCGACGTCCGTTCACGTCGCGGTGGTTCAACAGCTGCTCTACTAGATAGCGCTGGCCACCGCGAGAGTCCTCTAATGGAGGTGGAGGAGGAGGAAAGACGCTCTCCACACGATCATGTGGATCGGTGTGTTCCCGAGAGCTTCTTTGATCGCGTAACGCAAGGGTTACGCGACGATCTCGAGCATGAGCGGAATAAGCGTCTCCAGATGGTGGACACTGCCTCGAAGCATCGAGCTGAGTTTGCCTTTGCTCAGCTTGAGAACGAGAGATCTCTGACATTCTTCGTGACGAGCTAAGGGTAGCTCGTGGGATTGTTGATCGGTCTCGGGCTGAGATAACTGCTCTTCAGACCCTTGTTGATGCCCACCATCGGGAGCACAAGGCTCTCTGCGAGATGCTTGAGCGCAAGGGCGTTCTTCATCGGAAGAAGCAGCGTACTGATGGTACGGCTTAAGCCGACCAACGTAAAACGTGGGATGCGTTCGCATCTTACGTGGTAACTCGATCGTGTATGCATTGCCTAGGCGGTGCAATACACGAAATGGGCCAATGTACTTGGGTAGTAGTTTACTGCTACCCAAGTTAGTCACTACATGTTTTGGTAGATTAACCGTAGACAGTAGGACTAAGTCACCTTTATTAAATAAAAGAGTGTTTGCCCTTCCATTCTTGTCAGCGTTTTGCTTTTTGCTTATCCACCGCTTCGGCGATGGAGTCTTGCACAAAACGGACTACCGTTTCACGAGCCAGTATGAACTCATCTGATGACTCGTTAGCTTCAGTGTGCTGTGAGCGCACTGCAGCGACAACAACCTTTTCTTCAGTGAGGGCTTCCGCACTCTCACTGGGATCATTGTCTTCAGTGAGGGCTTCCGCACTCTCACTGGCATCATCTTCTTCGATATCGATGTTATCGATATCGGCATCAAACGCAATGACTTCTTCGTCAGAGCGTGATGAGCGTGAACCAAATCGGTTTTTGCTCGCGCGAGTCCCTCCCCCCCTTAAACCAGAGTTACACTCTAGTAAGGTGGGTACACGCGGATGGCGCAAGCCATTCACGTAAAACGGTGTATGTGTCGTGGACGCATGCACCGAGTTGTTGATGGCAAACTCTACCATCGGCAAAAACTCACTCCAACTCTTAAAGGACTGTACGTATTCTCGAAGTATCTCTTCAAGGACACGATTGGCACGTTCCGTCTGACCATCTGACTCTGGATGATCAGATGTTGACATCTTCAAGCGCGTTCCGAGTGATTTGAACACGGAACGCCAGAAATCAGCAGTGAATCGTGGATCTCTGTCTGATACGAGTTCACGGGGCAACCCATGAAGTCGGAAGATGGTGTCAATAAAGACACAAGCACAGCCACTTGCCGTGATTGTCTCTGGTACAGCCACAAGGTGTACCATTTTGCTGAATCTGTCAACAAATACGAGAATACCCGTATTCCCGCGTGCGTCTTTGGGTAACCCGAAGACGAAATCCATTGAGATGGATTCCCAGCACTCAGCCGGAACCGGTAGAGGCTGTAAAGGTGCACGCAGTGAAGGACTTGACTTCACTCGTTGGCAGACTTCGCATGCGCGAACATACTTTCGCACAAACTGATACTGGCGGGGCCAGTAAAAGTCTCGACTTACCGTGAGATATGTTTTCTCTCGGCCACGATGTCCTCCTATAGGAGCATCGTGATACTCGAACATGATCCGCAAACGCAGATCAGTATCATCTGGAATGACAACACGTGGTGTGTCACCAGAAACGGCTGTATAGTACAGTAAACCGTTACGAGTAGTGTATCGATCTGATGCAGATCGATACGCAGACGACAATCGTTTCAACGATTCTCGAGATGGTTGGGAGAGATGTGACAACAACTTCACTATCTCACCATCTTGGGCGTATGCCCGCCTCACATCATCATACAACGTTGTAGATGGAACTGAGGACGTCATAACCGCAACAGTGACTGTCTCACTGTTGGGTTTCGCGACTGTTTCAAAGTCGGGACGACGTGAGAGTGCATCAGCGACGACATTAAGTCGTCCTGGTTTGTACTCGACCGTAAAGTTGTATTCTGCAAAGAATGACAACCACCGCGCCATTCGTTGTGAAAGGTGCGGGCTGTTCACTGCCGTGCGTAAGGACGCATGGTCAGTGTAAACAACGAAGGGTCTATCTCCTAATAGATAGACTCTGAACTTCGCGAGTGCATACTTCATGGCAAGGAGTTCCTTGTCATGCACTGGATAGTTCCGCTCAGCTGGTTGCAGCTGACGCGACTGATAGCAGACGACGCGTTCAATGCCTTCAAGGTCGTACTGCATTAATGCACAGCCGATTGCGAAATCGCTGGCATCACAGACCACATGAAATGGCCTGTCCTGATCGGCTATTGCTAGGACTGGGGATTGTATCAAGCTCTGCTTGATACCCTCAAAGGAGCGTTGACATTCAGCGTTCCATAACCACCTCTCGTTCTTTTTCAACAAACGAGAGAGGTGTACAGTCATCTCGGCGTAATTGCGTGAATACTTATGCAAATACGCCGCTAGCCCAAGGAATTTTCGAAGACCTTTGACATCGACCGGCACGGGCCAGTCGGTGATCGCCTTGATCTTTTCGGGATCAGGACGTACACCGTTCTTACCAACGATGCACCCAAGAAGTGGTATTTCGCTTGCTGCAAATATACACTTCTTGAGGTTTGCATACAATTGATGCTTTCGCATGATTGTAAGAACTTGTCGGACGTGGTACTTGTGAACCTCAACTTCCGACTTTCCATCCATAGCTCGACTATGGATGAATACGTCATCGAAATAACTCGGCGCGAATTCTCGTACTGGCCTCAACAGATGTGATACACACCTGTTGAACGTGGCAGGGGCATTACTGAGCCCTTGTGGCATTACTAGCCATTCCCAGAGCATGCCGCTAGGCGTGCTAACTGCGGTATAGGGTATATCCCGTTCCCGCATTAGGATTTGATAGAAGCCATCCATCAAATCCATGGACGAAAAGATGGTACTCTTTGACATACCATCAATGATTACGTCCTTCCTCGGTATCGGCGTCTGAGCCGGTACCGTTGCAGCGTTCAATTTGTTAAACGCTGCACTATCCGCCACCCTCCTGTTGCTTTTCGCACACAGAAGGTCGGAGAGCTATGTGGGGAAGTTGATTCCCTCACATGGCCCGCTGCTAAACGATCGGCAAAGAACTTGTCGATCGCAAGTACTTGTTCACGAGGCAGTGGCCACTGCTTCATGACACAGTACTTCGAGCCTGGTTTAAGCTCGACTTCGTGTCGAATACCTTTATCCTTCGGTAATTCGCACGGAACAGTTTCAGGGAATTCATCCTTGAATTCAACCAAATCTTCATAGAGAGGATTTTCCTTGAGCGATTCCCATGATTGGGACTCATATCGCTCAATTCGTGTCTTTTCATCTAGGACACTCTCGTCCATAGATGAACTACTGAGAACGAGAGAGTTCTCAGTAAACACTGTTGCTGACCTTATGTCGGTTACATACTCGTCTTCAGCGACGAGTATGCAGATCTGCTTGACTTTGCCACTACGCAGATCACGCAAGAATCTTTTATGTTCGAGCGTTGGCAACTGAGTGATCTCCGAAGTTAACTTCGGAGGCGCAATCAGATCAAGTGTATAAGCGCCTACACATGATCCGTTATTGACTATGACATTCAATGTCTCTGTCATTTCCTGGGGACTTATTCCCTCAGGCTTCGAAGGACTTATTCCTTCGTCTTCCCGGGGACTTATTCCCGCGGGTTTCGGGGAACTTATTTCCGCCGTATTTGTAATCTTGGGACTTATTCCCTTTACTTCCTCTAGCTGTGGTTGCGCAACCACGGCGAGATCCTCTACGAAAGACTCTCCAGTCGATCTAGGATTATCGTTTCGCTTAACCTGAGCGATCGATCGTTTCTCTTCTAGATGTTCCCCTCTAGGGATACATCTTTGTCCCAGTCCACCCGACTTATTCGAGTGGTGGACCTTCGGCGCAGCCTGTGTTTCCTCACAGCCGCCGGAACTTTGCTCCGAAGTGTAACCGTTTGGTACACTAAGGTTTTGTGCAGTCGTACTAACGACCGTACCACAAGTGAGGCCATGCACTCACTCGTAGTACATCCACACGCTTGTGGACTCTCCAAAACGTTCATCAGATGGCCATCTGATGAACAAGCGGCAGGCATCGTTACTGTCCGATGTTGCCAGTTTACCCGTGGTTCGTACCTTCTGAGCCACGGTATTCCAAGGATGACATCAAATTTGTCATCCAAATCCAATACGATAAAGTCGTCGTCGTATTGGGTATCTTCTAGCGTATAGTGAATCTTCACTATACGCTTCATATTGGTTACGGATGCGCCTGTCGCAAGACGTACCGTCATCCTCGTAGGAGGTGTGTCACATTCACTGAATTTAAAGTGACCATCTTCTAGCGATTGGCGTCGCACAAAATTGTTGGACGCCCCACAATCGACTAGAGCTCGAAGGGACAACTTATTCGTCACTTCGAGTTTCAAGTAATGAGTGAGATCTCATTACCTAGAGCAGCAAGCACAATGTCTGTGTGTTGGGAGCAACCTTCATCAAGAGGCCTACAAATTCTCTTGACGTTGCTGGATCAGTAGGGTGCTCCGCACCTACTGATCCTGTCCGTTTTTTGACGGTCCATCCCGTTGTTGCGTCTTTGCACCAACTGCGGACCCTCGTCCCTGCCCCTTTCTCATGGGTGGACGGTCACTACGCCCAGTGTCGCGAGACACTGGACGAGGGGCACTACACTCGTAAGCGTAGTGTCCTGTCTTTTGACATCTGTTGCATCTCTGCAACTTCTTGTAGCCTGTAGAACGAGCCTTCTCGCTCTCTACATAACAGAGTTCCATCGGCTCTGGACCTCCGTTGTCATATCGTCTCGGTTGACGATATGATGTCGAGCTGGCGCGAGCCTGTCTCAGACTGAAGTCTTCCTGCTCCGCAATGGAAATGGCTTGTTCTAGTGAATCTAGTTCAAGCCGGAACAGGTGAGTCTTGACGGGACCATCCGCAAGACCCTGCATGAACACCGAAACCAACGTGTGTTCATCCACCGGATTGGAACTTATACAACTCGTGAGATGTCGTATATGTTGAGCGTAAGCTGCACATCACGCTTACCCTGCTTGAGCTTCAAGAGTTCGGTTCGAGCCTGAACTCAGCTCTAGGCGGTTCAAACGTTTTTCTGAGCCGCGACTTGAAGACTTCCAACGACCCAAACGCATATGGGTCGTGCAGCTTGAGCCCCAGTGCCCAAGTCTTGGACGTCCTGCCAGATTTGACTGGGCAAATGCAACTTGCATATCCCCGTCGTCGATGCGACGCGCCCTTATGGCGTCATCAATTCGACGAACCATCTCAAGAGGGAGTCTTCTTCGACCCCCTATACTTTGAGATGTCAATCTTCAAAGTCTCGGGCCGACGCGAGTGCATCGACCCGCCAGCAGCAGCCTGCTGCTGTCTCAACAGTTCAAACTGTTGAGCACCTTGTTCTCTCAACAACTCTGCTTGTTGAGAACCTTGTTGGTGAAGCAAGGCTACTTTCTCGCGTTCTGCGTCAAGTTCATTTTGAATGAACTTGGCGATAGTAGCATGTTGGGCATCTCTATTGAGAGCCTCTAGCATGACGCTAACAGCATGGATGCCCATGGTCGAACCCATTCGTTCAACCGCATCCCATTCGACATCGCTCAAATGGGAGTAGCCGTCACGCGTAGCTTGGACGGACTACGAAGTGCTACCAGGTGTAACGGGGCACCCTGAAGCTTGTACTGGTGACAGTACAAGCTACTTATTCTGATAACAGAATAAGGCGGTGCCTCGTAACTTCACGTACACTCGTACGTGCAGAGGAAGACGGTAAGAAGAAGCGAGTACTTGGTTAGAGTAAAAAGTAGAACTGTATTTATAATAGTTAATGTCTGCAATAAATCACTATTTATCTTCATCTAACTATGTCTAAATACAAATGTGTAAATCAGTTATCTGCTCACCACTCATTGCGTGCGTCTGTCGTGGCGCGTCTTCGTTGGTTGATATAATGGCCTATATCAACCAATTAGGAACTACTTGGAAGTGCTACAGAATATTGTCCTTATGACAATATTCTGAGAATATAACTCTTATAGTTATATTCTATTAACAATTTCTTATAAATTGTTATGTAACGATTCACCCCGTTACAAACGGGGTCAGCAGTGATCTCTTTGTCTCAGTGACATGACCAGAAGGCAGTCATGGCGTGAGAGAGAAGCCTTTAGTAACTGTATCTGCGAGGATAGCGAAGCAAACTACTCCATCAAGCCTAATTATAGCTTTGGGTGCATGTGATGGAGCTCGGCGAACATTGTCGTCAACTTCACTCGTTCTCGTCAGATGTGTAAGTTAAAGCACGCTTGAAACGGTAGACTTGTCCGAATCGGATCCGCTGGGTGCTGTCTGGACTAGGACTGTCACTACTGCTGTCGCAGGTGCGATGACTGTCACAACTTCTACGTCATCTGCACCATTGGTATCAGCAATGTTTGTCCAATGAGTAGTGGTAAACACGTCACAAAATGCGCATCCAGAAGCGACAGGCTTGGGGCAGGAGAGGCGCTGTGTCCACCTCGACTGGCGAACAGCAGAGCGACCACGGCAGCAGAAGAGGTGAAAATAAACACTGTGTCCTCTTTACTGCTGCATGCACATGTATACGACGGATCTAAGTCATCCAATTTGGACTCAGTGGTGCTTAACCTGTATCGGAGTCTCGTGTCAACGTACTCTTTCTCTTCAACTATCGATGCTGCGATTTTCCTCATTCCGTACGAGCACGTCGCAGTCGGAGGATATCACGCTTGTTCATTGCATGTCCGTCATGGTGCAAACAGACAGGCTTTTCCGATGCGACGCTTGAGATTCGGGACAAGAAAGCGTTTGATCACTTTGCGGGGGACATGATAAGACTCGCTCAGGTTCAGTTTGAGATTGGAAGTACACTGACCATCCACGTACAATTGCTCGGGGCAATCGTAACTTGGAGCGTCTCGGACGTTCCGTTACGGAAGAAAATTATGTTTAAAGGGATGAATGGACTACAGGACATGCTCATTGATCAGGCGGGCATGGAAAACTCGACATAGAAATAGGTGGTCGCGACGATCGAGACACGCGTTCGGAATCCATCTATCACGACGATCCGACCAGTAGGAGCATTGTGTCTCGATGCTCGTTACTTAGCATTGGGAGAAAGCACGTTGGTCACGCAGATGAAGACGCCAGCAGATACGGCGTTGTAGGTGGCTGACGGAAAGCCGTCGCACTTGTACTGTGTATTGCTGCAGGAGACGAAAGATATGCTCAAGGGATACGATCTGCTGGTATTGACAGGCGGAATGATAAGCGCGAACTCGGAGGCGATCAGTGGGCTCAATTCCAAGTACTTGAGCAACGTGTCTGCAGCACTTACAGTCGTGACGTGTGACCCTCAGGCGACTTCGGTGGAGCTGTATATCCGAGCAAGAAGAACTTGAATATCAAGAGCTCATTGCCGCCGTAGACAGACCCAATTGTGGAGGACATGTTTTTCGCAGAATTTGAATGCATACCCAACAAAAGACAAGGAGGACGATGTGATACGGCTTGATACTGCTTTTTAGTGGAGGTAAAATTCCATTGTGGCTTCATTCAGCATTGACTATCACGGACATGTGGATGAACGTGAATCTTGCTGTCGAGGACGTGGCTCCAAGAAAACTGTCAGCTGTGTTGCTACAGCCGGCTCGACCTGCATCTGTGGAAGCAAATTAGACGAGCTGAACTGAATAAGATAATATATGCGCGTTTACATAAGGATGTCGCATCAGTGCATAGTATTGTTGCTGTGACTGCGCATTATTCTTGCTTATGCAATATTGTTAGCATGAATAAAGTCGCGCACCATGTTTACCCGATAGATATGTTAAAAATGTTTATCGCTAGACTACGGTCTAAGACATAGTAAGTGTAAATTAGTCGACACTTGAGATGGTCGAACGAAAACGAATCAGCTCGATCGTAGTGGCCCAAGCGGCGTTGGCGCTAGTTCTTTAAACGGAGTATCGTTCGGCTGTACCACGTCCGGTCTTCCCCATCGGCAGCAGAATCACGAGTATCGACGAGGTGTGCAAACTCCTTAGTGTTGAGATTTTTGCAAATAGGCTTCACCATAAACCTGTTCGAGGGATGATCATCTGCAGCACCTGCTTGGGTTTCGTGACACTTGTTTTGCCTGCGTGCTTCCTTTAGCGTGCGCAGTGCGTGGCTATGCTTGGTGCAGTAATTTTCATCACTTGAGCGCAGGTTAGTGAGCTGGTTGTAGTCCCAGTCAGTGGGACTAACTCTCTATTCGCAGATGACGCATGCTTCAGAAGCAATCTCCGACAGCACACTAAGTGCATGACAAAAAATCCCTTCAATGAGGTTGCATAAGCTCTGGATATCGATAGTAATACACAAATAAACACATGCACGAGTAAGAGAAACGTCAGCAACAAATAAATTGATAGATCAAGAAATGAAATCACACAATCACCACGATTAAAGCTGGCTGAGTCGTTAATGCGATGGTGGTGTAGACTCAATTGTTCCTTCAGTCGGTTTTTTCAGAATGAAGTCGTTCTCGCTCATGCCTTTGCTCCGACCCGTGAGATGCACCGACCCGAGTCTGCGACGTGGGAGTAAGTACGAATTTCTCTCACCAATCAGGCATACTCGTCATGCTTGTTTAACCCATTGAGCGACTATACTGCCTACCGTCTCTTACTTGTTCTTCTATACTGAGGTCTGGTCATCTCATTAACCTCGTCCCAAGACCGACTACGTGGCCTGCGTCATCTTTACCTACCTTACCTATAAAATAGTAATACAAATAAACACTTGCACAACATCATCTACAGTCAGCACTCTCTGCATTATGTCAGCACTCTCTGCATTATGTCAGCACTCTATGTATTCAGTCACTATCTCTGATGTCCTATCACCTATGATGCAACGTTAAGAGCTGCCGCGGGAGCGTTTCGGTTTCTATCATTGGTTAACATGAGTACACATTTCAAATGTGTACCCATTCCAACCAATGATAGAATTCAAATGTGTACACATTTCAACCAATGATAGAATCCGAAACACTCCCGCGGCAGCTCTTAACGTTGCATCATAGGTGATAGGACATCAGAGATAGTGACTGAATACATAGAGTGCTGACATAATGCAGAGAGTGCTGACATAATGCAGAGAGTGCTGACTGTAGATGATGTTGTGCAAGTGTTTATTTGTATTACTATTTTATAGGTAAGGTAGGTAAAGATGACGCAGGCCACGTAGTCGGTCTTGGGACGAGGTTAATGAGATGACCAGACCTCAGTATAGAAGAACAAGTAAGAGACGGCAGGCAGTATAGTCGCTCAATGGGTTAAACAAGCATGACGAGTATGCCTGATTGGTGAGAGAAATTCGTACTTACTCCCACGTCGCAGACTCGGGTCGGTGCATCTCACGGGTCGGAGCAAAGGCATGAGCGAGGACGACTTCATTCTGAAAAAACCGACTGAAGGAACAATTGAGTCTACACCACCATCGCATTAACGACTCAGCCAGCTTTAATCGTGGTGATTGTGTGATTTCATTTCTTGATCTATCAATTTATTTGTTGCTGACGTTTCTCTTACTCGTGCATGTGTTTATTTGTGTATTACTATCGATATCCAGAGCTTATGCAACCTCATTGAAGGGATTTTTTGTCATGCACTTAGTGTGCTGTCGGAGATTGCTTCTGAAGCATGCGTCATCTGCGAATAGAGAGTTAGTCCCACTGACTGGGACTACAACCAGCTCACTAACCTGCGCTCAAGTGATGAAAATTACTGCACCAAGCATAGCCACGCACTGCGCACGCTAAAGGAAGCACGCAGGCAAAACAAGTGTCACGAAACCCAAGCAGGTGCTGCGGATGATCATCCCTCGAACAGGTTTATGGTGAAGCCTATTTGCAAAAATCTCAACACTAAGGAGTTTACACACCTCGTCGATACTCGTGATTCTGCTGCCGATGGGGAAGACCGGACGTGGTACAGCCGAACGATACTCCGTTTAAAGAACTAGCGCCAACGCCGCTTGGGCCACTACGATCGAGCTGATTCGTTTTCGTTCGACCATCTCAAGTGTCGACTAATTTACACTTACTATGTCTTAGACCGTAGTCTAGCGATAAACATTTTTAACATATCTATCGGGTAAACATGGTGCGCGACTTTATTCATGCTAACAATATTGCATAAGCAAGAATAATGCGCAGTCACAGCAACAATACTATGCACTGATGCGACATCCTTATGTAAACGCGCATATATTATCTTATTCAGTTCAGCTCGTCTAATTTGCTTCCACAGATGCAGGTCGAGCCGGCTGTAGCAACACAGCTGACAGTTTTCTTGGAGCCACGTCCTCGACAGCAAGATTCACGTTCATCCACATGTCCGTGATAGTCAATGCTTGAATGAAGCCACAATGGAATTTTACCTCCACTAAAAAGCAGTATCAAGCCGTATCACATCGTCCTCCTTGTCTTTTGTTGGGTATGCATTCAAATTCTGCGAAAAACATGTCCTCCACAATTGGGTCTGTCTACGGCGGCAATGAGCTCTTGATATTCAAGTTCTTCTTGCTCGGATATACAGCTCCACCGAAGTCGCCTGAGGGTCACACGTCACGACTGTAAGTGCTGCAGACACGCTGCTCAAGTACTTGGAATTGAGCCCACTGATCGCCTCCGAGTTCGCGCTTATCATTCCGCCTGCCAATACCAGCAGATCGTATCCCTTGAGCATATCTTTCGTCTCCTGCAGCAATACACAGTACAAGTGCGACGGCTTTCCGTCAGCCACCTACAACGCCGTATCTGCTGGCGTCTTCATCTGCGTGACCAACGTGCTTTCTCCCAATGCTAAGTAACGAGCATCGAGACACAATGCTCCTACTGGTCGGATCGTCGTGATAGACGGATTCCGAACGCGTGTCTCGATCGTCGCGACCACCTATTTCTATGTCGAGTTTTCCATGCCCGCCTGATCAATGAGCATGTCCTGTAGTCCATTCATCCCTTTAAACATAATTTTCTTCCGTAACGGAACGTCCGAGACGCTCCAAGTTACGATTGCCCCGAGCAATTGTACGTGGATGGTCAGTGTACTTCCAATCTCAAACTGAACCTGAGCGAGTCTTATCATGTCCCCCGCAAAGTGATCAAACGCTTTCTTGTCCCGAATCTCAAGCGTCGCATCGGAAAAGCCCGTCGGTTTGCACCATGACGGACATGCAATGAACAAGCGTGATATCCTCCGACTGCGACGTGCTCGTACGGAATGAGGAACATCGCAGCATCGATGCTTGAAGGGAAAGAGTACGTTGCCACGAGACTCCGATACAGATTTAGCACCACTGAGTCCAAATTGGATGACTAAGATCCGTCGTCTCTGTAACAGGCCCCCTTTAACTGTAGTGCCACGAAACTTTACGTACACACGTACTTGCAGAGGAAGCTATTTTTCTCAATCACTAGTTTGAGTAAGAATATGAAGAGAACTGTATTTAATGTAGTTAAGCTATCAATTTGACTTCAGTTTTTATCTAACTATATTAAATTACGTCGTCGTATGACGACAACCTGCTCACCACCCATTGCACGCGTCTAGCAGCGATTGGTGTAACCTTGGTTGATATGTCTTTTATCAACCAATCTTCGAGCAGCACGTAATTTTTTTCGTAAGGGATGACATTCCTGCAATAGTATTCATCTCGGGTAATATTCGCAAATATTGTCACGCTAGACAATCTCCATATTGACACCGTTTGGTGTCAATATCATGTTACGGGCTATCTCGTTATTATTACGCTTGTTGACTCATAAAGTCTAGTTCTTCAGAACTAATAAAACTCGTTGAGCTATTCAGGGTTCCTTTCAGATTAATAAATGTATAGCTCCGCTGCTAACGATTGTACAATTGCACACGTTACGTCCTTCGACGCTCGATTGTACGAGTCCTGAATTGAAATCAGCGAGCTGCAGCGCTGAAACTGTACAAAACAGTATCGCCTGTACGCTTTGCATATTTCGATCATGTGATTCCTTCAATCGAATACGCTGACTTTTCGCAAAGTGCTCTTTAGATTTATGTACGAATATCGTTCCAGGTTACAGTGGCGCATAACAACAGTGGGCTTCATCACTGCCATGGCGCAGGACGCATCGACTCCTGCATTTAACAGTTACTACTACTTGTCAAACAATTAAGGAGAAAGGAGCACCGCAACAGATTTCTTGTCCACTTCGTCATAATGCGTTCGTGACTGCTGATACGAAGCGCTCCACGGAAGGTCACATCGCAAGATCAATTTCCAAGCGTCTTCGCTCCGAACAAAAGAAGTCGGTATTCGTTGAGTGCAAATGTCATTTGCTTTGTTAACTCTTCAGCGACATCTTAACTGGGCTTCGAGTCATTTACTGTCCCATCTATTGCAAACTACACTCCTCCTGATTGGTCAAAAGTCCGCGGAGTCAATTTTGCACCCGTGACCACATCGACAGTCAAAATGGGCGACGCGAATGGTGAAGCGCCGCTGGGCACGTGGGCGCAGCGCAAGGAAGCGCGACGCAACATGTACGCGAGCAGCACCGACCAAGTTCGTGTACATCGTCGAGGCTTGGGAGCATCTTCATCAGCAGCTTCCAGCATCGCTGCCATGTGTCAGAAATGTCTTCGGCCGGGCCACTGGACCTACGAGTGCAAGAACGAGGCCGTGTACGTGCACCGACCGTCGCGGTCTCAGCAGCTCAAGAATCCAAAGCTGCGTCAGCGATTTAATACGGATAAGCCCCCTGAATTGCAAGAGGAGGGAGGCAAGGCGTCGAAGAGTGACAAGAGAAAGAAGCTGAAGCGCACGGTCCAGGATCGAGCGAGTGTCAAGAAAAAGACGAAGAAAAGCAGCTCGCAACGCAGACGCAGACCTAGTGTCAGCAGCGGTAGCAGTAGTATCAGCTCGGACTCGTCTTGCTCGGACAGCGTGTCTAGCTCGGACTCATCGAGCTCGGGTAGCCCGTCTAGCTCGGACAGCCCGTCTGGCTCGGATAGCTCGGATAGCTCAGACTCATCCAGTAGCGAGAGCGAGAGCACTTTGTCCTCGTCAGGCAGTGACCATGGCTCGAAGCGGAAACATCGTGTGAAGCGGCGCCGCAAGAACCAGAGATGATAATGTCTTGCAGATTTGTTGTCGAGAGGGTGTGACATCAAAATGCAAAAGGAGTGGTGCAGTCGTTGCCACACGCAGCAAGGAAAGAGGTTGTGAGCAGAAGACACACTGACATACAGTCATTGGTATAGCTTATAGCTTGTTTGTGTTTTTGTTTTTTCCTTGTTTCGTAGCAACTCATGTCCTCCTTGTTACACCTACGTCCTGGTGCACGCACATGATCGCCTTGTGTCCGCACGACATGACTACTTGGTTGTAATGACACGACCAATCGTCACTCGTCCTTTCTTGTCTTCTCCATTCGTCAACCTCACCTCTTTCGATCACTTGGTACGTATCTACCACGAAGCACCAAACTCCGACTTGGTCTTGACAAACAACGAGTGGTCCCACTTCGTGTCGATCTTGATAGGCTCCGGGATACTCACACCATCCGCAGCGACCTTGGCGAACTGGACGCGGTTGATCGTCCGGCAGTCGCGGTACAAGCACACGCGCATGCAATCTTCCAGCAGCGTCCGTGCCTCGGCTTCTTCCATATCCGGTCGCCAGTGCTTGCGCAGCAGTGGGATCCCGAGATGATGGCCAAAGCCCGTGGCAACGTAGTCTCCTTCAAAAGCCAGTCCAATCATCGTCACTTGCCCCAGAAATGGCTCGTGCGTCTCTGGGTTCAAGCCACCGACTACGACCGTGTTCCAGAGCGGATCAAATTTGTTCCGACGGTGGTACATGAGACGCTGGAGGTAGTGGTAGACCTCTGGCGCCGTGAGATCGCACCTATCGTCCTGGTTGAAGTCGTACACCTCGAGCTCGTCCATCTTGTCCTTAATAAACTGGAAATCGCTAAAGTCCCCACCCGCGCCCAAGAGCGTCGTACTGTGGACAGCCGTGAGACGGCGCTGATCCGTAAAGCGCGCGAGTGAGCCGTACGATCCCAGCGTATCTGCCGCCATCATTACTCCGCCCTTGAACTTCAGCGCGATCACCGACGTGCCCGTCACAATAGGCGACTGCGTGCGCTGTCGCGTGGCGTCCATGTTCCGATCGATCTTTGCGCTCGAGTGGCGTTCTCCCCCTCGAAAAAGTATACTTTTGTCCAATCACTTACCGTCGTCAAGACGCGCGTTGTTCATTCGCTGAAAATCCCTTCAAGGCCACACCACGAACAAACGAACACGCAGTACGTGTCCGCACTGGATGCGCATTCGAGAACTTGCGCGCTAGAGCCCAAAGGAAACAGAATGAAGGTCTTTCTCAGCGCGGCCGTCGTGTCAGCGATGCTGCTGCCCTACTTAGCGGCGCAGGACGAGGACGCCCCTGTCGCAAGCCAAGCCGAGCAGCAGACGACCGAGCTGGACAAGCAGCAGCGCCAGCAGCAGCTGCAGGACCTGGAGAAGAGCGCGCTCTTTGTCGAGACGTTCGAAGCTGCGCAGGTGCTGGACGACTCGCGCTGGTTCAAGAGCACGCACGAGAAGTATACGAGTCAGGACGTGAGTACCAAAGACGTCAAGACCGAAGCAGCGGCTCACTTGACGCCTGACCACGGGCTCGTGCTCAGTACAGCTGCGCGTCACTATGGACTCGGCGTGAAGCTCGCGGAGCCGCTGCAAGTGGACGGCAGTGAGGGCAAGAAGGAGATGGTCGTGCAGTACGAGGTGAAGCTGCAGAAGGGACTCAGCTGCGGCGGAGCGTACGTGAAGCTGCTGCGTCAGACGGAGGCGACTCCCGACTACTCGAGCTTTAGTGACTCGACGCCGTTTGTGCTGATGTTTGGGCCCGACAAATGCGGATCTGATGACAAGGTGCATTTGATCTTCCAGCACAAGAACCCCGTGTCGGGCGTGTACGAGGAGAAGCAGATGATGGAGGCGCCGCGCATTAAGAACGACAAGGACACGCACTTGTACACGGCTGTGATCCGTGACGACAACACGTTTGAGGTGTTTGTCGACCAGCTGTCAGTCAAGAGCGGGAGTTTGTTGACGGACTTTATGCCTGCGGTGATTCCTGAGAAAGAGATTGATGATCCCGAGGATTCGAAGCCGAGTGACTGGGTGGAAGAGAAGCAGATCCGTGATCCTAGCGCCGTGAAGCCGGACGACTGGGACGAAGACGCTCCGGCTCGTGTCGTGGACGAGGACGCTGTCAAGCCTGAGGATTGGCTGGATGACGAAGCGGCGATGATTGATGATCCGGATGTGATCAAGCCGGAAGACTGGGACGACGAGGACGATGGCGAGTTTGTCGTGCCGCAGATTGCTAACCCAAAGTGTGCGGAAGTGTCTGGGTGTGGTGAGTGGAAACAACCGACGAAGGCGAATCCGAACTACAAGGGCAAGTTCTACCCTCCGTACATTCCCAACCCAGCCTACAAGGGCGAGTGGACAGCGCGCAAAATCCCGAATGCGGACTACTTCGAAGACGCGCACCCGGCACGCATGGATCCCATTGGTGCTCTGGCTGTGGAGGTATGGACAATGTCGGAGGGGATCACGTTTGATAACTTTTGGCTAGGTAACGATTTGGAGAAAGCCCAAGAGTTTGCAGCGTTGACGTGGGCCCCCAAGCACGCTGCGGAGGCCGAAGTAAGCGATAGCGCCAAACCGGAGAGTGAGGAAGTTGATGAGGGTAGTGCGATGAAGAAGCTGGAGGCATTTGTGGCTGAGTTTGCTACTTACGCGAACGCGAACCCAGCGGTTGCCGTCGGCTCAATCGTCGGTGTGTCCGTGTTGGCAGTACTCGGCTTGTTCTTCCTGTGCTGCGCGTCAGGCTCACCAAAGCCGGAGACAGACAAGAAGGCCGAGAGTGGCGCGGAGGATGAGGAGGACGAGGCGGCTGCCAAGGCTGTGGACAGCGACGAAAAGCAACAGAAACTGCGTCAACGCAAGAAGGCTCCCAAGGTCGACTAATTGTAATCGCACCGAGAACGAACGCGGCGGCTGTGTTGCGTTTCGTTAAACAGTGTTCTGATCTTGACTCGCATTCCAGTGTTTTACTTTATGTGTCGGAGAGATGAGCCAATGCCCGTCGCAAGGCATTGGGAATAGCTACCGCTTTGATCAACAATCTACGCACGGTGCTGGGCGTTACGGAGGAGCTGACAATGTGCACACTTTCAATGCCTTGTACGACAACGATAAGATGTGCAGTTTGCCTTTTGACATTAAGATATCGCCTCTGACTACGTCTTGTACGTAATACGTACACGTACGAATCGTCTTTAGGTATAGATTACGCATATTGCATACAGGATGTAGTCAGAGGCGATATCTTGATGTCAAAAAAACAGAAATAGTGAAATGTGTGTTCAAATAAATTTTTATACAATTTAGAAAAGGGAAATAGAAAATACTTCACTTCATCAAGAAAAAATGTCTTAGGTTATAAATTAATAAAGTAACATGCTCTACGTTCTCATATACTCTAGTTTAAGTGACACACATATACCGACATTTTTCTTCGATGCAGAGCTCAACCTAGTATAAAAAATACTCTTCAGACGCTGTATGCTGATTGTAACGGGGTGAATCGTTACATAACAATTTATAAGAAATTGTTAATAGAATATAACTATAAGAGTTATATTCTCAGAATATTGTCATAAGGACAATATTCTGTAGCACTTCCAAGTAGTCCCTAATTGGTTGATATAGGCCATTATATCAACCAACGAAGACGCGCCACGACAGACGCACGCAATGAGTGGTGAGCAGATAACTGATTTACACATTTGTATTTAGACATAGTTAGATGAAGATAAATAGTGATTTATTGCAGACATTAACTATTATAAATACAGTTCTACTTTTTACTCTAACCGAGTACTCGCTTCTTCTTACCGTCTTCCTCTGCACGTACGAGTGTACGTGAAGTTACGAGGCACCGCCTTATTCTGTTATCAGAATAAGTAGCTTGTACTGTCACCAGTACAAGCTTCAGGGTGCCCCGTTACACCTGGTAGCACTTTGTAGTCCGTCCAAGGACCGCGTTCACATCCAACATGAATATGTTGGATGATGAAGATGACCAAAGCTTTCACGCTACGCGTGACGGCTACTCCCATTTGAGCGATGTCGAATGGGATGCGGTTGAACGAATGGGTTCGACCATGGGCATCCATGCTGTTAGCGTCATGCTAGAGGCTCTCAATAGAGATGCCCAACATGCTACTATCGCCAAGTTCATTCAAAATGAACTTGACGCAGAACGCGAGAAAGTAGCCTTGCTTCACCAACAAGGTTCTCAACAAGCAGAGTTGTTGAGAGAACAAGGTGCTCAACAGTTTGAACTGTTGAGACAGCAGCAAGCTGCTGCTGGCGGGTCGATGCACTCGCGTCGACCCGAGACTTTGAAGATTGACATCTCAAAGTATAGGGGGGTCGAAGAAGACTCCCTCTTGAGATGGTTCGTCGAATTGGATGACGCCATAAGGGCGCGTCGCATCGACGACGGGGATATGCAAGTTGCATTTGCCCAGTCAAATCTGGCAGGACGTGCCAAGACTTGGGCACTGGGGCTCAAGCTGCACGACCCATATGCGTTTGGGTCGTTGGAAGTCTTCAAGTCGCGGCTCAGACAAACGTTTGAACCGCCTAGAGCTGAGTTCAGAGCTCGAACCGAACTCTTGAAGCTCAAGCAGGGTAAGCGTGATGTGCACGCTTACGCTCAACATATACGACATCTCACGAGTTGTATAAGTTCCAATCCGGTGGATGAACACACGTTGGTTTCGGTGTTCATGCAGGGTCTTGCGGATGGTCCCGTCAAGACTCACCTGTTCCGGCTTGAACTAGATTCACTAGAACAAGCCATTTCCATTGCGGAGCAGGAAGACTTCAGTCTGAGACAGGCTCGCGCCAGCTCGACATCATATCGTCAACCGAGACGATATGACAACGGAGGTCCAGAGCCGATGGAACTCTGTTATGTAGAGAGCGAGAAGGCTCGTTCTACAGGCTACAAGAAGTTGCAGAGATGCAACAGATGTCAAAAGACAGGACACTACGCTTACGAGTGTAGTGCCCCTCGTCCAGTGTCTCGCGACACTGGGCGTAGTGACCGTCCACCCATGAGAAAGGGGCAGGGGACGAGGGTCCGCAGTTGGTGCAAAGACGCAACAACGGGATGGACCGTCAAAAAACGGACAGGATCAGTAGGTGCGGAGCACCCTACTGATCCAGCAACGTCAAGAGAATTTGTAGGCCTCTTGATGAAGGTTGCTCCCAACACACAGACATTGTGCGTTGCTGCTCTAGGTAATGAGATCTCACTCATTACCTTGAAACTCGAAGTGACGAATAAGTTGTCCCTTCGAGCTCTAGTCGATTGTGGGGCGTCCAACAATTTTGTGCGACGCCAATCGCTAGAAGATGGTCACTTTAAATTCAGTGAATGTGACACACCTCCTACGAGGATGACGGTACGTCTTGCGACAGGCGCATCCGTAACCGTCATGAAGCGTATAGTGAAGATTCACTATACGCTAGAAGATACCCAATACGACGATGACTTTATCGTATTGGATTTGGATGACAAATTTGATGTCATCCTTGGAATACCGTGGCTCAGAAGGTACGAACCACGGGTAAACTGGCAACATCGGACAGTAACGATGCCTGCCGCTTGTTCATCAGATGGCCATCTGATGAACGTTTTGGAGCGTCCACAAGCGTGTGGATGTACTACGAGTGAGTGCGATGGCCTCACTTGTGGTACGGTCGTTAGTACGACTGCACAAAACCTTAGTGTACCAAACGGTTACACTTCGGATCAAAGTTCCGGCGGCTGTGAGGAAACACAGGCTGCGCCGAAGGTCCACCACTCGAATAAGTCGGGTGGACTGGGACAAAGATGTATCCCTAGAGGGGAACATCTAGAAGAGAAACAATCGATCGCTCAGGTTAAGCGAAACGATAATCCTAGATCGACTGGAGAGTCTTTCGTAGAGGATCTCGCTGTGGTTGCGCAACCCCAGCTAGAGGAAGTAAAGGGAATAAGTCCCAAGATTACAAATACGGCGGAAATAAGTTCCCCGAAACCCGCGGGAATAAGTCCCCGGGAAGACGAAGGAATAAGTCCTTCGAAGCCTGAGGGAATAAGTCCCCAGGAAATGACAGAGACATTGAATGTCATAGTCAATAACGGATCATGTGTAGGCGCTTATACACTTGATCTGATTGCGCCTCCGAAGTTAACTTCGGAGATCACTCAGTTGCCAACGCTCGAACATAAAAGATTCTTGCGTGATCTGCGTAGTGGCAAAGTCAAGCAGATCTGCATACTCGTCGCTGAAGACGAGTATGTAACCGACATAAGGTCAGCAACAGTGTTTACTGAGAACGAGAGAGTTCTCAGTAGTTCATCTATGGACGAGAGTGTCCTAGATGAAAAGACACGGATTGAGCGATATGAGTCCCAATCATGGGAATCGCTCAAGGAAAATCCTCTCTATGAAGATTTGGTTGAATTCAAGGATGTATTCCCTGAAACTGTTCCGTGCGAATTACCGAAGGATAAAGGTATTCGACACGAGGTCGAGCTTAAACCAGGCTCGAAGTACTGTGTCATGAAGCAGTGGCCACTGCCTCGTGAACAAGTACTTGCGATCGACAAGTTCTTTGCCGATCGTTTAGCAGCGGGCCATGTGAGGGAATCAACTTCCCCACATAGCTCTCCGACCTTCTGTGTGCGAAAAGCAACAGGAGGGTGGCGGATAGTGCATGCATTTATCAAGTTGAATGCTGCAACGGTACCGGCTCAGACGCCGATACCGAGGAAGGACGTAATCATTGATGGTATGTCAAAGAGTACCATCTTTTCGTCCATGGATTTGATGGATGGCTTCTATCAAATCCTAATGCGGGAACGGGATATACCCTATACCGCAGTTAGCACGCCTAGCGGCATGCTCTGGGAATGGCTAGTAATGCCACAAGGGCTCAGTAATGCCCCTGCCACGTTCAACAGGTGTGTATCACATCTGTTGAGGCCAGTACGAGAATTCGCGCCGAGTTATTTCGATGACGTATTCATCCATAGTCGAGCTATGGATGGAAAGTCGGACGTTGAGGTTCACAGGTACCACGTCCGACAAGTTCTTACAATCATGCGAAAGCATCAATTGTATGCTAACCTCAAGAAGTGTATATTTGCAGCAAGCGAAATACCACTTCTTGGGTGCATCGTTGGTAAGAACGGTGTACGTCCTGATCCCGAAAAGATCAAGGCGATCACCGACTGGCCTGTGCCGGTCGATGTCAAAGGTCTTCGAAAATTCCTTGGGCTAGCGGCGTATTTGCATAAGTATTCACGCAATTACGCCGAGATGACTGTACACCTCTCTCGTTTGTTGAAAAAGAACGAGAGGTGGTTATGGAACGCTGAATGTCAACGCTCCTTTGAGGGTATCAAGCAGAGCTTGATACAATCCCCAGTCCTAGCAATAGCCGATCAGGACAGGCCATTTCATGTGGTCTGTGATGCCAGCGTTTTCGCAATCGGCTGTGCATTAATGCAGTACGACCTTGAAGGCGTTGAACGCGTCGTCTGCTATCAGTCGCGTCAGCTGCAACCAGCTGAGCGGAACTATCCAGTGCATGACAAGGAACTCCTTGCCATGAAGTATGCACTCGCGAAGTTCAGAGTCTATCTATTAGGAGATAGACCCTTCGTTGTTTACACTGACCATGCGTCCTTACGCACGGCAGTGAACAGCCCGCACCTTTCACAACGAATGGCGCGGTGGTTGTCATTCTTTGCAGAATACAACTTTACGGTCGAGTACAAACCAGGACGACTTAATGTCGTCGCTGATGCACTCTCACGTCGTCCCGACTTTGAAACAGTCGCGAAACCCAACAGTGAGACAGTCACTGTTGCGGTTATGACGTCCTCAGTTCCATCTACAACGTTGTATGATGATGTGAGGCGGGCATACGCCCAAGATGGTGAGATAGTGAAGTTGTTGTCACATCTCTCCCAACCATCTCGAGAATCGTTGAAACGATTGTCGTCTGCGTATCGATCTGCATCAGATCGATACACTACTCGTAACGGTTTACTGTACTATACAGCCGTTTCTGGTGACACACCACGTGTTGTCATTCCAGATGATACTGATCTGCGTTTGCGGATCATGTTCGAGTATCACGATGCTCCTATAGGAGGACATCGTGGCCGAGAGAAAACATATCTCACGGTAAGTCGAGACTTTTACTGGCCCCGCCAGTATCAGTTTGTGCGAAAGTATGTTCGCGCATGCGAAGTCTGCCAACGAGTGAAGTCAAGTCCTTCACTGCGTGCACCTTTACAGCCTCTACCGGTTCCGGCTGAGTGCTGGGAATCCATCTCAATGGATTTCGTCTTCGGGTTACCCAAAGACGCACGCGGGAATACGGGTATTCTCGTATTTGTTGACAGATTCAGCAAAATGGTACACCTTGTGGCTGTACCAGAGACAATCACGGCAAGTGGCTGTGCTTGTGTCTTTATTGACACCATCTTCCGACTTCATGGGTTGCCCCGTGAACTCGTATCAGACAGAGATCCACGATTCACTGCTGATTTCTGGCGTTCCGTGTTCAAATCACTCGGAACGCGCTTGAAGATGTCAACATCTGATCATCCAGAGTCAGATGGTCAGACGGAACGTGCCAACCGTGTCCTCGAAGAGATACATCGAGGATACGTACACTCCTTTAAAAGTTGGAGTGAGTTTTTGCCAATGGTAGAGTTTGCCATCAACAACTCGGTGCATGCGTCCACGACGCATACACCGTTTTACGTGAATGGCTTGCGCCATCCGCGTGTACCCACCTTACTAGAGTGTAACTCTGGTTTAAGGGGGGGAGGGACTCGCGCGAGCAAAAACCGATTTGGTTCACGCTCATCACGCTCTGACGAAGAAGTCATTGCGTTTGATGCCGATATCGATAACATCGATATCGAAGAAGATGATGCCAGTGAGAGTGCGGAAGCCCTCACTGAAGACAATGATCCCAGTGAGAGTGCGGAAGCCCTCACTGAAGAAAAGGTTGTTGTTGCTGCAGTGCGCTCACAGCACACTGAAGCTAACGAGTCATCAGATGAGTTCATACTGGCTCGTGAAACGGTAGTCCGTTTTGTGCAAGACTCCATCGCCGAAGCGGTGGATAAGCAAAAGCAAAACGCTGACAAGAATGGAAGGGCAAACACTCTTTTATTTAATAAAGGTGACTTAGTCCTACTGTCTACGGTTAATCTACCAAAACATGTAGTGACTAACTTGGGTAGCAGTAAACTACTACCCAAGTACATTGGCCCCATTTCGTGTATTGCACCGCCTAGGCAATGCATACACGATCGAGTTACCACGTAAGATGCGAACGCATCCCACGTTTTACGTTGGTCGGCTTAAGCCGTACCATCAGTACGCTGCTTCTTCCGATGAAGAACGCCCTTGCGCTCAAGCATCTCGCAGAGAGCCTTGTGCTCCCGATGGTGGGCATCAACAAGGGTCTGAAGAGCAGTTATCTCAGCCCGAGACCGATCAACAATCCCACGAGCTACCCTTAGCTCGTCACGAAGAGATGTCAGAGATCTCTCGTTCTCAAGCTGAGCAAAGGCAAACTCAGCTCGATGCTTCGAGGCAGTGTCCACCATCTGGAGACGCCTATTCCGCTCATGCTCGAGATCGTCGCGTAACCCTTGCGTTACGCGATCAAAGATGCTCTCGGGAACACACCGATCCACATGATCGTGTGGAGAGCGTCTTTCCTCCTCCTCCACCTCCATTAGAGGACTCTCGCGGTGGCCAGCGCTATCTAGTTGAGCAGCTGTTGAACCACCGCGACGTGAACGGACGTCGGACGAGTTACCTCGTCCGGTGGCGCGGCTATCCCCCGTCCTGGGATTCTTGGGAGCCCCGCTCCCAATTGATGGTTGACGTACTGGGTCTGGTCGAGGCAGTACGACGCGACACATCCTGTGCCGCAGAAGGACCGCCGGAGAAAGTCTTCCCGGCACGGTCGTAAAGGGATTTCAGGTTGTCAATCCCTTCGTACATCTCAGTAGAGACACGTACGCGCCACCACGGGCTGGTAAGGAGGTAAGCCTCCTTAGGTGCTCGTGCAGAGTTGTTCACACAACATGGGCACGAGTCTCCCCAAGAGAGGCAGGGTAATCCTTTCTCCCTTGACAGACGATGCAGCTTATAGCGTGCACCTGTCGGGGTTCGCTTTTCAAACTTATCACGAGCTTTGATAAGTTTGTCGTTCCAAGCGTCACGACCTACATCCTCGAGGTTATGGATGTAGGCGTTCCACGCTTGAAGTAGTGAGGGACCATCACGTTTGTGATTCCCACTGTACCATCGATGTCTGAAGAAAGCATCGATGAAGAACTCATGTTCAGCGCGATAGTCTTTCGCGCTGGGGTCAAGGTGATGGATCCTTGACGAATCGAACAATCGTGTTCGATAACGATCACTCGTCGTCGCCGACAAGTGATCCATGACAGATTTAGGAGGCATCCATGCCTTCTTCTCTGGAGCGAGACGCAACACATTGCGGTCCCGCTCTTCCTGCGACGTGCCGACAGAAGTACTGGCACCTCGCTGTGAAGTGGTGTCCATTGGAGAAACGACACCACTATTAGCGCCCGAGTCTCGCGACCTCGAGCGCCTTCGCTTCGGCGATGGTTCATCTGACTCATCAGATGAACCAAAGATGCTGCGACGCAAAGCATCGTCCATGCCACGCTTGGCAGGCGGCTTGGATTCAATTGCCGTCGATACGGATCCGTCATCCGTATCAGGAGAGTACGAGACACCGAGCTCGTACTCTGTGAAGACACGAGTGTCTTCATGACCAGCGCCTGCATCACCAGGTGATACAGGCTGAGTCGATTCAGCAACCGATGGGATATCAGTTGCTGTAGTTTCTGCTTCGGCGTCCGCACAGATACGTGCAGACGCGCTCTCGGCGGCCTTGCTCGCGCATCGCATGGGCTTGTTTACCATGCGATGAGATGTTGGAAAGTGGACGCGGACCAACAAGTGCAAACCCCGTCCCAAATGATTTGGGACGAGTATCCATTTAGTCAATCAGTCACTAAAGTGACTGATGGTTAAGGGGGGTGATGTAACGGGGTGAATCGTTACATAACAATTTATAAGAAATTGTTAATAGAATATAACTATAAGAGTTATATTCTCAGAATATTGTCATAAGGACAATATTCTGTAGCACTTCCAAGTAGTCCCTAATTGGTTGATATAGGCCATTATATCAACCAACGAAGACGCGCCACGACAGACGCACGCAATGAGTGGTGAGCAGATAACTGATTTACACATTTGTATTTAGACATAGTTAGATGAAGATAAATAGTGATTTATTGCAGACATTAACTATTATAAATACAGTTCTACTTTTTACTCTAACCGAGTACTCGCTTCTTCTTACCGTCTTCCTCTGCACGTACGAGTGTACGTGAAGTTACGAGGCACCGCCTTATTCTGTTATCAGAATAAGTAGCTTGTACTGTCACCAGTACAAGCTTCAGGGTGCCCCGTTACACTGATACGTCGAGCTTTCTAAAACAGATGAGCCCTTGATTGCGGTCACGTGAATATTAATGGGGACAGAGTAGAAGCATGCTATGCTCGCGTACCAACGCTACATTATGTCAATGCCCTTTTGCACCGTTCAAAAACAGAGCAAACCAGGTGCCGTAGAAAACGATTAGGTCAAAATTAGCGGGTGTGTAGGTCCTCAACATGTAAGAGCGCCACTAATTACTACCAATTTTATGTTGTAATTACACGAGAAATAGTTTGTACACATCGAACAACGAGGCAGGTAGTGTGGCACCAGATCTTACCGTTAGAGAGTCCCGTGCCAAGTGCTCGCGGATACAGTCTGACAAAATCTTGTTGAGGTCCGTATCGTACGTTTTATTACGGATTGTATTCGTTTCTTTGTACTACGATATGTATGTCGGATTGTGTGAACACTTCGACCAAATCGAATGTCTTGTGTGCGTTGTCATTACCTCTTAAGCTTTCCACGTCCAGCGTGTTGTCCTTAAGGGTTAAAAACCACTATAAGCATCGACTAATTTCTGTAACGGCACTGAAATGTCGCTATCAACACAAGTAAATACTTTTTGAATTGATGGATAAGAGTCAAAAGGTGGAATGGATTCGTGATCGTCCATTAATTGTCTAACAAATCTCAAGAAACTGTTGCGTACGGGCGGGAAACGTATTCATATCACTCAACTAAACAGCGAAAAATCAGCACTGTAAGACCAACAACACCACAAGCAGTAATAACACCACAAACAAAAACAGTGTAACGGGCACCCTTTGTTTGGGTGCCACGAAACGTCACCTACACTAGTACGTGCAAAGAAAGCTATTATACTCAAACGATTAAGCTGAGTAAGGGGTAAAGATACAACTGTACTTAATATAGATTAGCTATCAATATAACTTCAGTCTTTATCTAACTATACTAACCTACATTGTCGTATGACGACAACCTGCTCACCACTCATTGCGCGCGTCTAGCAGCGATTGGTGGTAACCTTGGTTGATATGTCTTAATCAACCAATCTTTGAGCGGCACATGAACAATATCCCAAGGGAATAATATTCCTTCAATATTACCTATCTCGAGTAACATTGTCAGGAGATTGTCATGCTGGACAATATCCCTATTGACACCAAACGGTGTCAATATCATGTAACGGGATACCCCGTTACGTCACCCCTCCTTTAACCATCAATCACTTGTCAGTTTAATTTTTATTGATCGGGGACAGGGAGATCACCGTTTGATTAATCTATGAAAGGAAGGCCCTTCTTGGTCAAATATCAACTCATTTGCCAATTCATCGCATGGTGTCAAAGTCCATGCGGTGCGCTGTCGAAGCTTCCAGAAAGGAGGCTACACTCACGCGTGCAGCCGAAGAAAATACTCCTTAAGCCTCAGCATCAGGTGGTCATTCACCTGCTGTTGCGATTCAGCAACAGGCGGTGTCTGTTGCGACTAGCATACGTTATGATTCACCACGTGCGACAGATACATCCGCTGCGTCTGAAGCGGGTGCTGCAACTCGCAATGTAGATGAGCCTGAAATAGAGCTCATCAATTCTGGTGAGTTGGAAGAATCATCCGACTTGAAGGCGACACCTCGCGCCTCCGGATCATCAGGGGCGGACACTGCCAATGCCAGGTTAAATGGATCTGGGGAATGTGGCGACAGCATGTCTGAGATCTTCGTACCGAGAGATTTTTCTGACGAATCCTCGTCTCACGCAAGTCCATCCGACGATAGGAAGCGTGGTGATGGTGGTGATGCCCCTTTGCATTAACACGAGAGTAGCAACTCGAGGGATCGAGCTGCCATTGGTGTCAGTGCTCATGCTTACACAACTCAAGAGGCCAGGAACCGAAATGTCCTACGCCAAGCTCCTCAAGTGGAGTCTCCTTGGATGCCGTCATCCAAGGAGTTGGACCGGTTGGCCGGCATGACTACCAAACGGGATCGAATCCCGTTGTTCGACTGAAGGAGGATCTGTCCTCCTAATTCTAGCACGGAAACTATTCGTGCTAAGGAAGAATTCTTCACCGATGTGCTCTTCAAGAATCGGTGGTGCAACGGCAACCGTGGTCAAGACGATAAGGCCTTGGTTTAAGGATGGTTTGCCTATATCGATAGCATCGAGTGCATTGGCCGCGAGGCATGGCTCTTTAAACTTGATGCAGTTTGCATCAGGTTTGAGAAACGGAACCCAGCCGGTGTACGATACAAGTTGCACCGACTGTCAACAGAGGCAGGACTTATCTGTCTCTCGTGGGGTGATTCGCGTCCAAGTTGTCTGGGAAAGTCGATTCGTACCCCTAAGGAGGCATACCTCTAAAATGATCCCTACTGGAGGGCGCGCATCTCTTCTGAGATGGCCGAAGGGATTGGCACTTTGCAATCCCTGTACTCACGTTCGGTGAAGTCTGTTTTCGATGGCCCTCCTTCGAACGTAGCAGGCGGGTCTCGTCGTATTGCTCGAAGAGACCCAGAACATCAACAATCAGCTGAGCGCGAAGCCTCCAGCTGTCCTAGGCCGGTGGATAGCCACGCCAGCGGACGAGGTAACTTGTCTGGACGCCCTTAACGTCGCGGTGGTTCAAAATACGCTCCACAAAGAAGCGTCGACCACCAACAGAATCCCAGAAAGGATGTAGTGAAAGCGGAAACAATTGATCCGTCTGGAGGGTCGGATCAGCTAATGTTCAAGTACCTAACCCTGTAACGGATCAATTACACGATGGCTTGGAATATAATGGACTCGGTGTAATGAACTTAATAACATCGTAAAGGACAAAAACAATTCCTAAGCGCACGATCGTTCAATTCGTTCTCTTCGTGACGAGCTGACTTCAGCTCGTCAGAGCATCGCTCAACTGCGTGAGCAGGTCGCTACGTTAGTCGGTCAGACTGGCTCGTTGAAACGGGACCACTCGAAGATGGGCTTGGCTCTTGATCGGGGAAGAGTTCTTCGCCTCTCGAAACGGGCTTGTGCTGACAGTACGGGAGGAGAAGTCCTACGTAAATCGTAGGTTGCGTGCGCATCCTACGAGTCAATTCAATCTTGCATTCGTTGCGGCGCAATACACGAAATGTACCAATTACCTTGGGCGGTAATTTAATGCCTCCCATGTTATTTAGCCTGCGTGTGTTGGTAGAGTTACTGTTAAAAGTAAAACTAGGTCTACTTCATCGAATGAAAGAATATTTGCTCTTCCATGTTTGTCTACGTTTTTTTTCTGCTTGTCGATTGCGTCTGCAATAGTCTTAAACGAAGCGGACAAACGCTTAACGAGTCGGCATAATTCATCCGCTTCTTCTCCTTGTTAACAGCAGTGTGCTTTGTGTGCACTGCTGAAAGAACGCTGTCTTCATCAGTGAGGGCGTCATCGTCCTCACTGTAGCAGTCTTTGGCGATGCAAGGTATACCAGCACCTTCGACGTGTGTCGAGCAAGAACCAGATCGGTTTTTGTTTGTGCGAGTCCACTCCCCTTTTAAACAAGAGTCACACCCTAAGAAGGCGAGTAAACGTGGATGGCGTAGGCCATTCACGAAGAACGGTGCATGCGCCGACAACGCATGCACCGGGTTGTTGATGGCGAATTCTGCCATCGGTAAGAATTCACATCAACTCGAAAACGAGTGGACGTACCCTTCGAGTATCTCTTCGAATACCCGGTCGACGCGTTCCTTCTGGCCATCTGTTTCCAAATGGTCAGTAGTCGACATCTTTACACGTGTTTCAATTGAAAGGAACACGGATTGACAGAACTCCACTGTGAAGCGGGGGTGCCTGTCAGACACGAGTTCACGGGGTAACCCGTGAAGTCGGAAGATAGTATCGATTAAAACACGAGCACAGCCCTGGGCTGTTTTTGAATTTGTTACAGCAACGATATGCACCATCTTGCTGAACCGATCAACAAACACAAGAATACCAGTATTCTTGTGGGCTTCTTTGGGAAACCCGAACACGAAGTACATCGATACGGACTGCCAACACTCTGCCGGAATCGGAAGAGGCTGTAAGGGTGCGCGGGACGAAGGACTAGGCTTCATCCGTTGACAAACTTTGCAAGCGCGAATGTATTTGTGCACAAACTCATAATGGCGGGGCAAGTAAAAGTCACGACTTACCGTAGGGTAAGTCTTCTCCCTAACGCGATGCCCACTTGTTGGGGCATCGTGACAATCATACATGATGCGCAATCGCAAATTATTATAAGCGGGAACGACGACACGAGGTGTGTCGCGGGTGAATGCTGCATAGCACAGCAATCCGTCACGACCGAATAGGGTTCGGTTGAAGAGCAGTATTGAGACGCCAAGCTTTTCAAATCTCGACGGCATGGATTGGTTACATAGTCCATCAATCGCAGAAGATTCTCATCCTCTGTGTATGCTTTCCGCAC